CTTTTAGGTTTAATTAATCATGGCCCATCTGCTCTGTTGTGGTCGGAGAGCTCTTAAGAGGTCGATTCAACCTGGAGATTGTTTATAGCCTGACCTTTACATGTTGTAATGTTATTTAACATTTACAGTACAATCCTAAGTGCTTAGATGAAAAGTAACTGGGCATTTTATCTCTCATCCTCAAGGCTTATTCAGTCTTGGACATGAGTTAAAAATTAAGGATCATCTATTGTCTTTCCAACCTTCACTTGATTTTCTCTCTGGATGGTTTTGCAAACATTTACGCTTAGAGAGCTGAGACCACAACAACTCATAAAACTGTATGTAATAAGAACTCAAGCATTGAAGCAAAAGAAGGGTAGAGCCAATTGCTCATGTGACCGTAGAACCTGCATCAATATTTTAGAAAGTAGTTTTTTGTTTTCATGGCAAAGATGGGAAATGTGTTGTAAATAGAACACACAAGAATATATGCCCAAGTAAAAGCAGCAAAATATCTGTATTTTTTCAGTACCTAGAACGCTTCTTAAACTTTTAAGCTTGACAAATTACATCTTTGTTGGAATTTGTTTACTTGATAACTTCAAGAATGGCCGACTTTCTTCAAGCATGCAATTTAAACCTCAGTTGTTGTCAAAGTAATAAAGTGACCTGGATAATATTTTATTTTATTCTTTCTCTTTTCTCTATAGCTATGGACTGGTGACATTTGTTTTTTAGCTACTTGGAAACATTTTAATATTGAACTATGGTACTGCAAGAACTTTGACTACACCTCCCACCAACAATGTGGGAGACTAGGTGAATATAATTTGCTTTCATGAGAAAATGTTCTCTAGAAATCGCTTCAATGGACAACATGGAGCAGGAGTTTCTCCTAAAGGTGGGGCAAAAACCAAAACTCACCCACCAAAAAAGAGAGCTCCAAATCCCAAAGTAGCACTAGTTATCCGTGGCAAAATTCATCGTCTTTTGCAAGGGTCTGCAGACCACCATGTCCCTGAATCCCAGCTCTATTATCCAGGCACTGAACAGGAAGAAGAAGAGGTGGAGGCACCTGACAGTCGAAAAGAGCTCCAAAGCATGTATCCGAAAGTTACACCGAGGGCTGAAGCCTCCCCCCCAAAAGCTTCAATCATTAAACGACATGCGGTGGTATCAGGGCCACCTTGTGTGGGAGAAGTGGAGCTGAACAGAGAGGGTTGCATAAGAATACCATGCACTTTACAACATAAAAGCTCCAGATCCCAAGGAAGTCAAAAACGGATATCCTTCGAGAGTGGACTCCGGGAACCTCCAGAGGATTTCCAGCCAATCCCACTTTACAGTCCAGTCAGCTCAGACATGAATGGGACAAAATTTGCATCAGGAACAAGAGAATTTACTTCCCCTCGCATTCGGCCCAAAAGACCATATTCTGCTGGTGACTGTTTGGACTACAACTTCAACAGATCTTTACCAAATACACTTCTGGAAGATGATGAAGATAAAGAAGAGACATCAAGTGCCATCATTGACCATATTCTGAAGGAGCTGAGGGGCATCAACAAGATCCAAGAGGAAATCTCAGACCTCAGGGATTACCTGAGCTCAGTGCGGGGCTCAGTTGAGGAGGTATCCTCATGTGTAGATGCTGTTTTATTAGAAATAGAAGGCATTCGTTCTAGCAACAAAGGCGGTACAAATACATGGTCAGGAAGCAAAGATGGATCAGCCACACGTAGAAGGCCAGTCAGTGCTTATGGTAGCTTAGGAAGCCCGGTCGCAAAGTCAGATCTGGACTGTTTTCAGCCAGGTTATAACCACCACAGTACACATGGGGTCCGACTGCCAACAAGGCTAGACGGTCCTAAGGTGTCCCAAATTGTTTCAACAGCTGATCATCAGGAACTGGAGGACGCTGACGACACTTCTGATCATAGTTCAGATATACCAGAAGGTGCAACAACAAGAAATCTTAGCTTAAGCTTACTTGATCATGGGAATTGCCAAGATTTTCTAAGCACTAGCTCTTTGTCTTCTGGCCATAGTTCAAAGTCTGAGTATGATTTACCAGGGCAGTTATCTAGTATTGAAAGAAAGGAGCAAAGAGAAGAGAGAGAATGGGCTAACACGATACCCCCACACAGTGTTACTAGGGAATCTAAGTGGCATAGAGATAGCGCTTACCTCAGGGATAGGGCTGTAGAGGATGATGCCAGAAAGAGTTCTCACTACTGTGAAGGAGCTGGACACTGGGGTCTTTACAGAGGAGCAGGAGGATATGGCTCCTCTCTACAGTCATCCACAGGAAGCTCAGATCCTCTCTTTGTTAGCTCTGGAAAGCATTACAACTCACCTGCCAGCACTTCAAGCAGAAAGGAACGGCAGTCACGGTTGAGACGGCCTCAAAGTCAGTCCAGGAGTCACAATCCAGCTGCTAACACCATTGGAAGCTCATCTGTTGGGTATGAATATTCTACTGATTTGTCTTACCCTCAAAGTTCAGGTTACCATTCGATTGAGGTGCATGATGGTGAAGCAGAGGAATTCGAGTTTGATCAAGCAAATGATCTGACCTTCACAACAAACAAAGAAACCGAAGCCTATTTAAGCTATGAAGAGACTTCTGCTATGACCTGGACAGAGGGACTGTCAGGGGCCTCTGGAGACAGTGTTATAAGACCTTACAGTAGTCGAAGCTGGGAAAACAGACTCTCTGATCCCGGTACTGCAGATGTCCCAGCTGGAGGCTCGACCGTCAAACGCTTTGGGCGAGCTGTGCTTGATTTCAGGTCTGCTTTGCGGGGTGCACTTCGCAAACTTGAAGGACCTGTTGAGGTAAATTCTGGACACTTTGAACTATCAATGCCTTCTGATGAGTTGCCTTTAAAAAGATCCTTGGAGGAATATTTAGAACAAACTTCTTACCAATTCCATGAAGATATTACTTCTGCTCATGCTTTGGGTGATCTGCCCAAAAATAGTACTAGTCAAAAGTCTCATAATTTTTCAGTGGAGCCTGTAGATTTGAAAACCAGCGAAAACCTTGCATTGGAGCCCTTGAAGACTTGCCAAAGTTCTCCTTATTGGAACAAGATCCCACCAAGCTTTGAAGAACCATCTGTTGACCCTGATTCTTTAGTCAAAGGCCTTGCAGACCTACCTGGAGACATCTTAGATGAGAAGATTTCAAAAGGTCCAGCACATGGTAGTAATAAGGATCAGCTTTCCCAGAACATCACTGCAGAATCCTTGCCAGTGTCAGGCCAGGCTGATGAACCTGCAGCACTGGAGGAACCGCAGCAGCCTGCAGCTGACATTTCTGGAGACTCTGAGGTCAAACCAGAGGGAGACGCTGCAGAGTTAACAGAAATTACCCAGATTGATGAACGCAAGTTGAAGTGTCTGAGGAGTTTTCAGCAGATTCTCCAGGAGAAGAGGGGGACCAGACGCAACCTTGTCAGTTTGACCATGTCCACCTTCTCCCAGGAAGAAATGGAACAAGGTAGCCATTGTTTTAACCTCTGATTATTCTGTCTTTGTGATTGCTAAAAACCGAGCTGTATTTATTACTCTCTTTATTGTAACTTTTCTGAACCAGCGAAACTAGGTAAGTGTATAATTGCTCCACCACTTTCTGTGGTCTTTAGCATCTCGGTATCTCAGCAGGGGTGTACAACCCTTGAGCAATGTTATTTGTGGTTTTGTTTGACCTTTAAAAGTTTTTAGATTGCCTGTTCACATTTCATCTTCATTTTTTTTGCGCCCGATCACAACAGAATCTTGTCCAAGTGAAGGACAGATGAAACTATTCTTACAAAATAGGTTTATCTATAGAAGCATTTTAAAGCCTGCATGCCTCTCAGGTCAGGGTTAATTGGCTTTAACAATAAAGAGAAATGTCTAAAAAGGGTCTGGAATGGACTGAAGTTGGCAGTCTATCGATCAAAACCACTTTAAAAGATTACCAGAAACTTTTTCTATTAGGAGGTCAAAAACAAAGAAAGTAGGGTCAGTTTAAAACTTTTTGAACAGTGCTATACATGTATATCTACTGCTATCTGTCTGCGGCTCTGATAGGTGATTGATTGACCTTTTTTGACACCAGTTCTTTGATCATTTCTGTTTGTATGATTTTCAGAGATAAAGAGACTGGTACCCATTTAGAGATTGGCAGTTAGTGCTTTTTATCTAAAGTTCCCTGGGGTATTTTATTGTACCATTGGTCTATTCTGGACTGATAATTTCTACCCACTTGTGAGTAATGCATCAGCTGCCACTCAGGACTCCCTTGCTCCTCTCCAAGGCGTCAGCAGGATCCATTTGCAGAATTAGAAAACATTAATTATCTCCTTGGAAAGCAAGTCGGACATTAAAGACCGGGGATCGTGAAAAAAAAGGGAGTAATTTTAATGATGAATTATGCATGTTAATGAAACATTTATGACCTCAGACCCCATCTGTCGAAAAACTCAGCGTTGGTGCCGCTTTTAAACTGTAACGCTGTTGTTTTTACACAATGAATCAAGCCGGTCATTGACTGTTTTTGTCTTTTCTGTGTGTTTCTGTCTCGCTCTTTTACAGATGGAAGTCAAGATGGAGATCAGGTCACCTTAAAACCAACCGTCTTAAAATTATCTTCTTGTTCTGTGGTTCATTTTCTGCTGTGTCTATGTTTATACTGATCCTGGTAGACCCATAATTATACCTACTTGATTTTTAAAAGCAGTGTTGATGGACACAATGTTGTCCATAACAGGACACTCTACAGAAATCTTATTTTTATCATCTCCCTAAATATAAATATTCACAAATCAATAAACAATGACGATAGAAAGGTGTTTGGCATGCAGAACTGAAACTCAACCAACACACTTTAGTCTCAACATTTCCCTCTAGTTATTTGCTATTCACTTTCTTTTTTGTCTTACACTTTTGCATTTGCATGCTCCATTCTCCTTGAATCAAACTTTTGCTTTTAACTTAATTAATGCGTGATCTATGACCTTCTATTTCAGAGCCAAACGCAAGACGGTGACCCCAGCAAGCAGCCGTGGGCCAAGCCAGGGTCTGTAAAGCTTTTATGTGTGTTTGCTTGACTAAACGGTACAAAGTTTAGTTTGTTTTTATGTATTTTTTCTGTTATTTATTTATTCATTGAAGGCCCAACCCACCATTTGGCATTGACAGCATGCCAGAGCTCCGCAAGAAGAGGCCTATCCCTCTTGTTAGTGAACTGGTGAGTCCCCCCCAAAAAACGAAGAAGAGAATCAGCTGGGCACAAATCGTTCAACCAGACATAAACCTATGCACATATTTTGTTTTCAAACTCCACTGAAGTTTATGTCACACTTTAGGTTGCAACAAAACAAACTACAAACCATCTTTAGAGTGAAACACTTTTCTGTAATTGTTGTGGTTTTTCATCCATTCATCCTGCAATGGCACTGCGGGGGCGGGGTGGTGTAAATAGTTTTGATACTTGAAAAGGACCAGAAAATCATTCTCTTACATTAACCAAGCAGTTCCTGTATTAAAATAAAACAAGAACCTTTTTATATTTTTATTTTAACACCAATTAAGTACTCATTTTACCACAATGAAACAATGATTCCTGTTGGGTGTTTTATACCCTCACCCAGTGGTGCAAAATACTTAATTAAGAAGAAGGCTTCATAGCACCATCTGTATAAATATCTGCAAAATATACCTCCATTCATGCATGAATTCGATGTTTAATTTCATAAAACACTTTTTAGTGACATTGGACACTAAACGTAAGTGGATGACAACAGCGTCTGATATGTAGCAGGTTGCTCTTATTAGGGAGCCATATAGCACAATTACAGGCTTTGCAGAATGAATGCTATGCTAAGTCAGTATCATTTTTTAACATTTACATACTTAAAATAATGCATCCAAGTGATTGATCCTATTAGAGAAGACAGGAAAAATGAATAAAGAAACCACTTTCACATTAACCCCAAAGTGCTGGCGTCAGGATTTATTAGACATGGAAGTACTACCTCTGCTCACTATAAATTAGTGTTTGTGGAGGTTTTTTGTTTTTCTTTTTTCATACAGATAAAGAAAGAATATTCAGGCTGATATTTTGTGATAGAAATAAAAAAGTGAATGAAACAATTGTAAAGGTTAAAGCGTATAACAAAACTCTCTTTTCTTCCTCTCTTTGCTCACCTTCCCTCCCTGTGATTGTCGCTGCTCAGGCCATGGTGAGTAAAAGACAAGTGAGATTGTATTTGCTTTAGTCTGCAGGTTTGATGGGTTTTGTTCGAAATTCAGTCTGCTAGTGGTGAAATCGGATTTTGGATCAGCATGCACACCCATAAGCAAACACAAAATAAAATCAGCTGTAGGGTTTTTTTTGTGTTGTGTTCACAAACTTAACTGGACTGATAACAAAGAACAGCAAAAGGTCCTCTGCTTGATTTCAAGTTTAGATGTAAATGTTTTAATTAACATCAGTAGCACAATACCCAATACTATTACATATTTTGCTTTCTGAAAATTGTAGAAAAACGGTAAAAGAAGGTGCTCATACTGTAGGGTTGTATGTAAAATTTAGGCCTTAAAATGTCTTAAATTAATTAGAAAACAATGCATTTGAATTTAAAAGTTAGACTTAGCATTTTTTCTGTTTTTGATTGTTACAGCAGTAAAATAAGGTTATTTCCATGCTGTTTACACAACTGTTAAAACTAGAAAATGGCACATTTTACCTCAACTCCAGTCTCTACTACCTATTAATTCTGCTTCATTATCCTGTGATATGTTTATTCCAGTAGAAGAAATTCATTACAAACCCATGAGGCAGTTTGTTTAATGGTTTCCGACAGCTTGTGCTGTTGGGTTTAAAATGTCTGAGGTGTTTCACAGGTGTGACACAGCATCAAAGAGTCGTTGCAGCATCAAAAACTGCTTTTGAGCTTTCATGTTGCTTAAAGATTTATAAAGAAAAGTTCCCAAGATCAACTCCAAACTCACTGCAAATCAAAAGGTTTACGAATATTAACCTCAGTAGTACGATTCCTGTTATATTTTTGTTTCCACCAATTAAATTTAAAGTTTGCAATCTCATTTGAATTTTTTACTTGATTAGTCCTATTTTCAAATTGTGGGGAAAACCTTGAGAACTGTGTCAAACATCTCAGGGAAGAAAATGCAAGGTGTCCACACATCCCTAGAAATTCCTACATTCATTTATCTAAAATTAAGGCCTTAATATGTCTTAAATTCAATACAGAAAATGTAACTTGGGCTTAAATATGTTTATCACGAGTCTTAGAAAGATGCTAATACTTGCATGGTATCTACCTAACTACCTAGTTGACAGTTTGCTAACTACCTAGTTTATTAGTGACTTTCTAATGACAAATAAATATTTAGCAGCTAGCATATGGCTACATTGCTAGCTAGCTTGAGTGCCATACGCCATTTTGATTATGTGAGAAAAGACCCCAGGAATTTTTGATCCTCTGAATTTTTTTTGTATGTCTTTGTCATGATGTAGATCTTAATTTTTATTTTTTTCCAAACAAGTCTTAAAAAGTCTTAGATTTTGAAGAACTTGAATAAACTCCGAAATGTTTGTTTGTTAAAAGAAAACTGGAAGACAAAAAGAAAATTGTCTGTTGTATGTTTTTGCAATTTCACCTTCAAACTTAAAAGAATCAATAATCAAAACAAGAATTTCTTCAAATACTTTAATCTTAACTGTGTGTCGCTGTAAATTTCTGATTTCTCACTTTTCTTTGTTTCCAGTCCATGATTCAGTCCAGGAAGGCCAGACTCAACTACGCTCTGGCCACTCGGACCTCCCTAAAAGATGAAGAGCTTGTGAGTAGTTTATCTTATTTAGCTCATCTAAATACTTTGTGATTAGTTTCTACTCAGTTTGTCATTTCGATTCCACTTCTGTTCATCATTTGTTGGAAATGATTGTGAGAATTCACTTTTGCTGAGTCAGCGTTATGGATCCAAAGTGTGCCTCCATAATTCTTATGGTTTGCTTTGTGCTGACAGCGCTGCAATTTGTCAATTTATAATGATGATTACATTTTACATTGGGAGAAACATTAATAATTCAGGTGCACAAAGTAGGTTACTCTATGGCATGTAGGAGAAAAAAATCTAGTGGAGAAGAGCTGCAAGGTTCTGAAGATGAAATTGGGGATACTGGAAATAAAAATTAGATAAAAAGAGCATCTTTTTATGCCCCTTGTCCTTTTTTGTGGTAAATATAGACTTATTTTTACTTTGATAACCTTAGTTTCAAATATTCATTTTCTGTAACTAGTTAATCCTGTTCATAGTGAGCAAAGATAGGAAAATCCACTGAGAAGAACAAAATATGGGGAAAAAACCCCAGAGTTTAACTCTCTTAGTGTAAAATAACTTTCTGAATTTCACAATACAGGTTTTATGCTTCCTTCAAGTGTTTTTTCCCCCCAAAAAAAGTATTTGAAAAGGGAAGCTGTAAATAAATTTACTAAATAATCTCAGATGCAATAAATGTTCCCATCGCCTGTACCTTACCAGAGGCATGAAACAGGTTCAGCCTGTTATTTAGCAACCCAAGAGGAACTCTGACACATTTGGTCAGTATTTTGTTGTTAACATACCATCAACAAACCATTTACTGCATTCTTATTGGTTGTGTGGGAGGCTCCACTTCTGCTTTTCAAACATGTACGGTTGTGTTAGTGCATGTCTGTTTGCAGCCATTTTCACATGCGAATGTAAACGTTGAGCTGGGGTCGTGGCCAGCAGCAGTTTATTGGATTTAAAGTGACAGGCGGTCCTAAAATAGTTCAATCTGAAAAGATCAAACTAAAATCTTATCTAAGAATGATTTTGTGGAAATAATGTGACAACTAAAAGCTTTATAATTACATAACATTTTTATGCAAACACTGCTGGGAAACCTGAAATAATTATCAGATTTCTCCGGGACTGGAAGAGATTTCTGTTGATTTTTCTGCTCTTGATTCAGCAGGTTTCTGTTGGGAGTCAGGGAGAAAAGAAAAACGGTTCTCTGAGATAAGAAGCGTCCAAACACTATCAGGGATTTTAATGATTCACACTATTCACAACTCACGGTGGATCTTCACCTTTTCTTCACAGGACAAATTATTTTCTAATTCAAAACTGTCAGCAGAAAGATGTTGTCCTACATATTTTTCGGGAACAGAAGCGTCTTCTCTGCTGTTTTTCTTTCTACGATGCCTTTGTCCAGAAGTCTTTGTCTCGCTGTGTGTAGAGGCGCCAACAGCCACCTGCTGCCGGTGCTCAGCATTCTCTGCTCCCATTAGCACACTTCTCAGTGGGAGACTGAAGCTCTCAGATCATTGAACCTTCCGCTCTGCAGCTGACCTTTCACCTTTTGAGGTTTTTAGTGGTGCACATCACTGTTCTTCCTCTTCATTTGATGCCAGTTTGATGCAGAGGAATGACAGCTGTTTGCTTTTTATGAAGATAACAGGAGAAAATAATGATTTCAACCACATTTGTTCCATGGTTAAAGCAGTCGTCCTGCTAATTGGACTGAAGTCGTGGTTCCTTAAGATTTCCTCAAGGAATTTACACAATATTCTACAGCAGAATGCAAGATTTTCCAAAGATTTTTATGTTATGACCCCAAATTTTACCATATTTTGGGGGATTTGATGAGTTTGGTTAAGAGTTTTCTGAAGAATTGCATGTTTGAGGTTTTTAATTCTTAACCATGTAACATTTTTCCTCCATTTCACATAAACTAGACATTTGACAATTTTTAAAAAACTTGTTTTTAAATAATAAGACATTTTTGCACTAGTATGAAGTGGTTCTTTGGTTTATTCTGCAAAACTGTAATGGAAACAATTTTTTCATCAAACAAATCACATGATCAGCTTCTGAAAGTTGCCACTGGGGCAAACCATGAAGACAGGAAGCAGTAGGAGAATGATGACACTGCATTTTTAAAATGATTTAAACAAACGTTTTTACGTGTGATTTTAATTACGTTTTTTATTTTTACGAAAATGCCGTAATTGGGATATTGTGTTTTTTCAACAAAGTTTTTTTCCTCCTGCTTCAACAGAAAAACCATGTTTACAAAAAGACTCTGCAGGCTCTGATCTACCCCATCTCCTGCACCACGCCGCACAATTTCGAGGTGTGGACCGCCACCACGCCTACCTACTGCTATGAGTGCGAGGGTCTGCTGTGGGGCATCGCTCGGCAGGGTATGCGCTGTGCAGAGTGTGGGGTCAAAGTTCATGAGAAATGCCAAGAGCTGCTGAACGCTGACTGCCTGCAAAGTAAGTTCAGCTACTAAAAGATATGGAAATGTTTCAAGGTCTCATTAAATCAATTATTTTGAATAAAACTAAATATTTTAAACCACATTCTACTCTTGAATATTTGCCACACATTTTAATAGTGTGGGAAGACATTACTTTTTTATGTACTGTAACAATTCCTGTGGCAATCAACCCAATAATTAATCTCATGTGACATTATGCCAATGCTTTGTCTGCGCTGATGAAGATTCAATAATGCCGTTTGGTTAAAACTGAAAGTCAATGTGACAGTATTACCTATTTGAAGATTTAAAAAATGAATATATATATTTTGTAGAACATTTAAACTTGATTTAGAGATGGTCAGTTTTTTGTTAATTATGGAAAAATAAGTAAAATCTAAATTTAATTTGCCAAGTAACATACCCTGTGCTGACACAGCAAAACACTGTGGCTTCCACACACTTTAAAGCAACTTATCAGAAAATATGGCTCATAATAACAGTGATAGTAAAGTGCGAGGACATGTTGATGTAACTGGTTTCTGCGTCTTTAGGAGCAGCAGAGAAAAGTTCGAAGACGGGGGCGGAAGATCGGACGCAGCACATCATCATGGCTATGAAGGACCGCATGAAGATCCGCGAGAGAAACAAGCCTGAGATCTTCGAGGAGATCCGGAAAGTGTTTGTCATTTCTAAGATGATTCATGCTCAGCACATGAAGAGCATCAAGCAGAGTGTGCTGGACGGCACCTCCAAATGGTCTGCCAATATCACCATCACAGGTATGCCTCTAAGCGCCTGAGAAAAAGCTGACTTTAGTTTTTTTAAAACAGGGATGCAAATTAGGAAGAATACCGATACGTTTTCAACATTTATGTCTAATGTTTACTGAGAGTGATCAGACTTCATTGGGTGGAAAAAATAGGGACTTTTGTTTTATTGCTCCATTGTACTTATTCCTTCATCACCATAGCAACTGGTGACTCAGCAGATTCTACTTCCTTACGTTGCTTAAAGACCGTAGTGCATCTTCCTGCAACAGCGAAAAGAGGATCTAAGAAAGTCTTTTTCGCAGAAACTTTTGTTTAAAATGGTGTTAAAAGGGGCTTTCTTTTTCAGAGATCGTTTTTAGGAAAGTAAAAAAAATATTTTACTTAGTGTGGAAAGAAAAATGTCTGTTTTTGGTTTTCTTCATGCTCTGGCAGTACAGATCCTCGCAGGGCGTGTGGCATCAAGATGATGTCTTTCTGAACCTCTGGGTGTGGATAGCACTCATATCTCTGTGTGAAGTCAGCCAAAGGCTTTTTCTTTTGTTCCCAAAGTGGGATTTGCTTTCTTTACTGAGACTCTTTTTAAAAATAGCATTTTGTGGTTTGTTATTTATTTGTTGATAAATAATCTTCATCCTCAAAGTGGTTTTAATGGTAAATTAGTCAAAAAATCTGCTGTTATTATTTGTTATGAATCTTTAACCTATTATAATAATCTTACTGATTATGTAAACCTTTGTTAATGTAAATCCAAAGCATCAGCAGTCAGAATGGTCATGTCACGTTTTATCCGATTACCACCAAGTTGTGCTCAGTCTCTTCTTCAAAGGCAGTGGTTCTTGGTGCAGCGCCCCCACAGGCGAGGAGAAGAACAGGTTTTTCAAAGAGCTTGTTTCGTTTGACACAGTGCAAGAGTAAAAACAAAACATAGCAGCTGAAAATCTAACAAATGTTGCCATTTTGGTCCTCACTCAAACCAAGTCTCCAACTCAAAGCTGAAATTATGAAAGAAGTTTGCGTCACTGAAACACATCACATCTCCTTCTGACTCCACACCCAAACAGACTCCTCTACAGAAATTACTCCACTAGAAGTCTTTGGTATTAGTTTCTTTTTATTAGCTTCCTTCGTCTCGATATGATCTTGTGATGATCCTGTCAGCTCCCATTACTCAACAACTTTAAAATCGACATATAGACGGTGGCGTCCATTACTGCTTCCATAAACAGTGGCTGCTGTTTCTGCTGTGGCATGTCTGTGATTAAGTCATGGATCTTTTTAACTGCTGTTTCTGTTGTGCAGTTCAACTGAAGTGCAAACAGGACTCCAAAGTTTTCCCTGTCTTAGTGAAAGTTGTGCTCTTTAGAGGGAATCAAATAAAAGCCACTCTACATGTAGATTTCTAACACTGCGGTAGATTAGCCATTATTCTGTTTCAGTTAGCTGCCTTAAACACCTGCTTTACTGGTGTGATCGCCTTATTTTGTTGTAAACTGAATCAAATCACACCAAATTCTGCAGCAGCTCTACATGCTAAGGTTGTCAAAGTCAAGCTAGCATAACTGACCTGCTTCTCTCTTCCTTGCTTTTTTTTAAAATTAAAACGTTATCCTGACCTTATTTAGTTGTTGTAGTGTTGACAAATAGTAGCGAAGAACTGCGTCCCTTTTTCTTTTATATTACATTCACACATTTAAGATTTAGCGAGATATATTGTCAACTTGACAGCTAAAAGCAATGCTAGTCAGCATTAGCAAGCAGCTTTTTGGCCTCCACCAGAGAGATGGGGGCAGGACTTCGACGTCATACTTCAACGTATCTATACGTTAGAGGTGCAGAAAATTCCTCATCCCTGGAAAATATATTTAGAAATTCAGAGAAATGAAAACTGTTTCAGTGACTCTGAGGTCGTTGTCATGAACTCCAGTGGCTGTCTGAATGCTACTTCGTGTCAGGTTTCTGCAGATACAAACATCAGGGAATGTTTACCTCCAGTTCACCCAGCATCCAGGCGACTGCTGTTACCAAAGCGACCAGACACATCCCAGCATGCCGTAGCAGCGGTGTTGCCATGGCAGCCATCACAGGTTGTCTCTCCAATCAACAGTGATGAGCCCAAAGATGCAGAGATTACCTTAAAGCTGAAATTAATTCATGGTCACGGGATTTCTTTTTTTCTTTTTCCTGCTCATCAAGGCATGAAGGCAGACTTTACCATCTGCAATTAAAAAATGCATTTACAGGATAAAAAAAGACATTTTTTTGAACATGTCCTCTTTAAATAATTCAATCAGATCTAAAAGGATGTTGCAAAGTGTTTAAAGTTGATGGTTAACTGACAGGATATGATTTTGAATCTTTTTGATCAAATTAATTTGGGACTTTCTCCCACAATTGATGTAAAATTCCCTTTGATGTGATGTGATCTGTCACCGTCAGCCAGTCAGAGAATCGAGAAACGATCACATAGAGATCAAAACTATTTAGAGTCACAAGTGCAACTCTGATAGACGATTTATGAATCTCAGTTTCCAAAACCAGTAGAACTATTTTCACAGTGTGGCATGAAAGTACGTATCTTTTATCATAACTAAAATAAACTTTTTAGTAATATTCTAACTTACCAAACATGACTGCACCACATTTTTTTTTCTGATTTTAAATTCTAAATAGTCTTGAAAACAGAAATTTATTTTAATTGTGTCACATAAAACTTTTAAAAATTTAAGCAGCATCAAAAATACAATTTTGCTCACACAGAATGAATATTTCTGATCTTTGGAGATTTTCATGTCTTAAAATATTTTATAATAAAATCTTATTTCCAGTGATTCCACTCCACCTTCACTGCTTTCTAAATTGTATTAAGGCTTCGTGTTTCTGTGAAGGTTTTCTTGCTGCCTTGTTGCACTGGATGACTTTAGTTAATCGCTTTTCCCCTGCATCTGAGTCATGAAAACCGTGTTACGAGTCTTTGCATAACAGTGTGGGTGATATCTTCTGTTTTGATGAGTGTGTGTGTGTGAATGAGAAAAAGAGAGAGTAGGTGTTTGTTTTTCTTATGCAATTTCCACAGTCATGGTGTGTTTTCGTTATTCCCTCAGTGGTTAGCGCCCAGGGTCTGCAGGCCAAGGACCGGACCGGCTCCAGCGACCCGTACGTCACCATCCAGGTGGGGAAAACCAAGAAGAGAACAAAGACCATCTACGGAAACCTGAATCCTGTCTGGGATGAAAAGTTCAGCTTGTGAGTGCAGATTTTCTGAAAAACATTCCTGCTTGTTATGACCTTGTTTAAAATCGCTCGCACTGCAAACCCACGTTGGTGAGATGATTTGGTTCAAACCTCTCATATCTATGAAGAAATCAGTAACGATTTTCCTGATTTACCTTCATCTGACTAACACCTTTCATCTTTAGAGACACAAGATCACTTTTACATTTCCTTACATATGTGGACACTTTTTATTCAAATGTTTAGGCACACCTAATTAAATGTCATATCAAGTTAAAATCTCAAGCGATTTCAATGACATTGTTTGAGTCACGTACTTTCACTTTTTGCTCCCCAAGTCAACTTGAGATCAACACATTTGTTCTTACCTGCAGAAACATTTCCTCTCTTCATGTTTAATTTTATTCATCTTCTGCCTTTGCAGCGAGTGCCATAATTCATCGGACCGGATCAAACTCCGAGTGTGGGACGAGGACGACGACATCAAGTCGCGAGTGAAGCAGCGACTAAAGAGAGAGTCGGACGACTTCCTGGGTCAGACCATCATCGAGGTCCGAACCCTGAGTGGAGAAATGGACGTCTGGTACAACCTGGGTACGTATTACCGCAAAACGATATACGCCGCGTCCCAAATTATTATGCCGATTGGATTTGAGTGTCATGGTTCAAAAAGAAGAGCCGTAGCTTCAGTAGCAAAATCATCTTCATGCATGACAATGAACCATTTCATGCTGCTAGGAATAACACTGTGTCACTGGCTGCCATGGGCATAAAGGGGAGAAACTCATGGTGTGTCACCATCCTCCTCTGACCTCTGACCCTACTGAGAACCTGTGGAGTTTCCTCAAGCAGAAGATCTGAGGGTTTAATGCAGGTCATATCAAACAGCAGCTCTGTTTCTTGAGAGGGTGATATCAAAGAAGCTCCAATGTTGACATGTAACTGTCTGTTAAGATGTTTTTGACTGAAATAGCTTTTGATTTTAGTACATGTGACCTGCTGCACATTCACAGAATGACTGCAATTCTTTATAATCCATAAAATGTTTAGAAATCCTGCTGTGCAGAATAATTTGGAGCAGAGCATTTTGAGTTTTTTATGTTTGAAACAAATACTGTTCTCATTGGGAGCTTTGCTCAGTAAAATTAGATTTATACTGTAATAGTTCATGACTTGAAAATTATACTGACCATCATTTGCATTGTCCATTTCAGAAAATCTGAGAAAATATCACTTGCATAATAATTTGGAACATGGTGTAGAAACACAGTTCTTTAAGTCACTTTCCTTCCTCAGCATGTCGTCAAATTCTGCAGAAACTTAATAATTACCCATTAATTTACATCAGATGAAGAAAAACAAAACATGAAGCTGCACCAGTTCTACTCATTCAACTTTAAGCTCAGCTCATGCTGAGTGAAGCTTTGGTTTCACTGTAAAACTCTGACTGTTTGTCTTCACTGTCAGAGAAGAGAACCGACAAGTCTGCGGTGTCCGGCGCCGTCCGCCTTCAGATCAGCGTGGAGATCGAGGGGGAGGAGAAGGTGGCGCCGTACCATGTGCAGTACACCTGCCTTCACGAGGTACGAACTGAAGAATCAGGGTTACTAACTCAGAATCTGAAATCGCTTCAAACATTTGTTAAATCACATTTTGCACATTTTTGTACTTCTATTCGAGTCTCTGCTGCTTCTGAAAACAGCCCATGTAGGTCTGTCCCAATAAGTCAATCAATCAATCAATCAATCAATCAATCAATCAATCAATCAATCAATCAATCAACCGCATCATAAATTAAATATAGCATAATTTCCATTTGCATGATTTATTGATTTGTCTCCTTTCTACCAAAAACTGGATGATACAAATCTTCAGTCTGGTTCTTTAGTGCCAACTAGTCAAATTGAACAGAATTTACCTTCAAAAATTATTTTATTTGTTGTTTTTGTTGTTTTGTTTATTTATTTTTAGATATTTGAAATTTCTTCCAGTTCCAGTGTTAAACGTTAATTAGAATTTAAAGTTTACAGATCTGTTAGAACATGTTGGTTGTCCAGGTGGTTCCACTTCTGCTTTTCAACTATGAGCTGTTGCTTGCAGACATTTTCACTTGCGATTGTAAATGTTGAGTTTGGAAACAGCAGAGTGGGATGTAAAAGATGTTGTAGTTAATTTATGTAATGTAAATAAACTTCACTGAGTTTGAATTGAAATGCAAATTTTTGTCACCATTTTAGCTTCTAATTCTTTGAGTTGTTTTCTTTCTGCGTTCAGAACATGTTTCACTACTCGACGGACATCGAGGGAGGCGGAATGGTGAAGATGCCGTCCGCTCAGGGCGATGATGCCTGGAAGGTCTACTTTGACGAAGTTCAACAGGAAGTCGTGGACGAGTTTGCGATGCGCTACGGCGTGGAGTCCATCTACCAGGCCATGACGTAAGCTAGCTGCTTGCAGTTCACCAATTAATCCTGGATTTTAGTTGAATTAAATCAGGAAATGTTTCATATTACTGTTTCTGAACAGCTCTGTGTGTGTGTGTGTGTGTGTGTGTGTGTGTGTGTGTGTGTGTGGGTGTGTGTGTGTGTGTGTGTGTGTGTGCGTGTGTGTGTGTGTGTGTGTGTGTGTGTGTGTGTGTGTGTGTGTGTGTGTGTGTGTATGTGAAGGGTCAATGAGGGTTTCATGAACTATAAACAGAATGAAAATCAGTTTATCTCATGTAATGAAAATGTATGACCTGCCGCGCCTGAGTTTTCCCCCTCTGTGATCAGATGGAGAGAAAGACTCGCTGTGCTCACATACCCACATACAAGCAAATGCAAACTGATATAATTTCATCTATAATCCCAGAATTAGATGAATTAGAGCTGAACCAGACTTCACCCCGTGGAAAAGAAGCTGTGGAGAAAACAAAGATGCTAATGCTAAATTAAAACTGGGATTGAAACACAAAGCTTTCACTAACAGAAAATGAAGTTGTAATTAACTCCAAAACAAAAAAATTATAAATTAATGACCCATGGTTTTTTTCATTAAGCCTGGATATTATCTCATTAAAATTATCTATTTTCTTGTGATTTTTAGAAGTTTTTTTTCTTTTTCATTAAAATTATAATTTTTTCCCGCCAGGACTATAAACAAAAGTTATATTAGTAAGACCTTAACAAACCTAAGCTGGCAGTAGGACTGAGCGATGAATCAATTTAATTGATTAAGTGAATACTTTGTTGTTCAAGTCGCGTAGGAAACGATTGAAATAAAAAAAAACACGTTTTAAAAATGTGTTTTGTCATTTTTAATGAAATAAAAAAGGGATAAATGTAAAAAAATCTTAGTTACATTTTTACACCTCCAGAGGTTTCTGCTTTGCTGCTGCTTATAAAAGTCTGGAATCAACATGGCAGCCAAAGAACGCCTGGCTCGTGCATGACTCAGCAGGTTTTTATTTCCTGGTTCTGAATCCCCAATCAGACTAACCGAAATAAAGCCGTACTTTCTGTTTAGTTGTAGTTTATTTGTAAAAATAAGGCTGTTTATTTCTTTGCCACTCAGAAACGTTGACCGTTTTCCTCCATCCCTCCAGGCATTTCTCCTGCCTGTCCTCTAAGTACATGCTGTCAGGAGTGCCGGCAGTGATGAGCACCCTGCTGGCCAACATCAATGCCTTCTACGCCCACCCCACTGCCTCCACAAACGTCTCCGCTCCCGCCAGATTCGCTGCCTCCAACTTTGGGGTGAGTGACCGCCGCAGTCACGGGGAAACAAACGGCACATTTCTGGTGTTTTTCTCACGGGTCGAGCTGTCAGTTCGTTTGGATGTGTCATAATGTATATATTTCCCTTTGGCTTTTCTTTACGGATTTGTTTTTGTCAAGAAATGCATATACTTTGTTTTGTATTTTCCTTTTCCAAGCCTTTGTTGGAAAACAAAATACATTTCTTGACAAAAATGTGTATGTAAGAAAAAAGAAAAACAAAATCTATATATTACTGCTTTTATTTTCAATTATGTCAAACTTGTTCATGGAACAACAGGTGGATAAGATATATTCTGTTTTCTAAGGTTAGGATCCCCAACCCTTTCTGATGATGCCCTGGGCAATTGCCCACGTCGCCCATATCAAAAACCTTTTCATAAAAGTTTAACAGAAGCCATTTTGTTTCACGTTTTAGATGTTAGCATGTCAATTAGCAACAAAACACAAGAAAGTTGGAAAAAATTTCAACTTTTGTTGCTTTTTGCTGTCATGGAAAACCTTTACAACATAAATATATTCTGGGAATGGGCCAATCAGAGCCCAGACCAGAACATAATCTGATGCTAGATTAGCAATTGAGAAAACCAATACAGTTTGTGATTTAAAATTTGCTCCGTTAAACAATAATACTTTGATGAAATAGGTTCAGGTGAAACTCTAAATTGTTCTGGATTTCTTTCACTGCAGGTACAAAAACATGTTTTCAAGCCTCTAATTTTCTCAGAATAATCGATCCTATATTTCTCGTCCACATATTTTTTATTTTTGACCACAGATAAAATACCAGAGACAGCAGGGAGGCAGTTTTATTTTCTGTCTCAGTTTCGTCTCATTTAATGGTTTCATTCAGATTTCCTAATGGAGTTGCAGTTTCTCTTCTCTGTTGCTCCTTATAAAAAAGTAACATTTATCCCCCTGGATTCTCTTTCTCTGATGTTCTTGTTTCTCAAAAGCAAAACTAGTTTTGCATAATGCAGATTCTGCGTTATCTGTTATTAATGACGGTTTTCTAAAGCTGTGTGAGGAAATTAGTGCCTTAAAAATATTTCAGTTGAATAAAAACTTTTAAAGTTTTGGGGGCTCATACGAATTATACCCCATTGGAAAGCCAAGAATTTTATTATGTATGTTAATGAAGGATAAATCACAATTACAGGCACAGTAAATGCTTTTAAACCACTCAGATATGCAACATAAAGTCCAACTCTCTGTTTAAGCCCAATCCAAAATGAGCTTTGCGTCCAAAATCTGAACAGATTCATACGGTTTAGTTAAGGTAAGATTTTAAAGGGGCAGTATTATGTTTTTCCCAGCAACATAGAGACATTTTATAGCACAATAAATTAACTACATTACCTTCAGTTGATATAAATATGACATAAGGAAATTTTACTCCACATTTCAACACCTCAAAGTTGGGCTTCTCTCTCTTTAAGAAGCTCCTGCTTTTTCTGAAGCTCCGCCTTCAGGAAGTCATCACAACATGGCTCTTGTTGTGATGCCATGTTGATAATAAATGCATTTTTATCAGTGTTTCACTGAAAAGTAGCTCTTGCGATGAGCTCAGTAAATGCACAGTGTCACCAGGTGTTTGCTAATTGCTGCTGGCTAGTCTGAAGGAGCTAAGTGGAGGAGGAGCTTCATCCTCTTAAAGCGGGACTAGGGCCATCCAGGGGTTTTGCACCGCTGAATGATTTCCATGGAGATTAGAGGATTTCTCAAACATGCCTGAAAGAATCAAAGCACTTCAGGTACATTTTTGATAAAAAACGATGTAAAGCTAAAAAAAAAGACTTGATTTTACATGATACCGCCTCTGTAAGAGGAGCGACACATGGTTGAGTAGAATGCAACTTCATTTCTTTACAGTTGTGGATTTTCCTCCACTTGTTCCCTCTTCTTTTTTGTCACGACTGTCGTGACTCACAAAGCCGTCCTACACGCTCTGCGATTCTCCGTCTTTCTGTTTGTGTTGCTCCTGCCTCCATGGGACACTCCAGAAGCATAACAAAAACCAAAACTCTGAGGATTATTGTAATTTTTGTAAAAAATACAAAGATTTTTTTATTTATTTTTATGCACAGAAACTTTCTTGGTATGCCTGCAAACCTTAGTTTCCACTTTTCTGATGGCCTAAAGGGAGGCATCAAATATAATTTTAAATGGTTGCATAATAAAAATGCTGCATTTTGGGAATCATTTCCACATCTTGTAACCAATCAGATCATAAGCAGTGAGAGTGGAAGCCCAGCTTTCCAGTAATCTGAGATAAAACCCAGTCTGGTTCCTCACTTTGTTGTCCAAGTCGTGACTCCCTGCGCGGTAGATAACTCTCCCTCCAACCAGCAGGTTCTTTCTTTCCCTTGTCATGCAGACACATTTGTGCAGCCAATGCAATGTGGAGGAAAGCGGATAAAAATAAGCATTGGGGACACCACTGCTGGCCATAATTCAGATGAGAGAGCCGAGTTAGAGGATCCAGCAACTCCTTTATGCCTGCTTTTTAAGAATATATACTGAGATCAACCTGCTTTCAAATGGCAAAAACATAATTAGAACATTTTGAGATATTATATTCAAGTAAATAAAGTAGCTTCAATATTTGTGATCCTAAAAACTGTGAGTTTGTGTCTTTTCCACAGAAATAGAGCCGTCCTGATAGAGCTCTATTCTATAAATGAGATACAGAAGTACAAATGAATTGAACAGAACAAACGTTGATTTATGTGTCATATTTAGTGTTTGAAAAGACCCAAGAGCAAAAACGGGACTATAAATGTTAATTGCAGGGTATGTCATTGCATTTTAATCAGAAACTATATATCGTTGCTAACATTTTCAATTCAAAAACTCTTTTTGTTGCTAAATCATGTGCCCGACCAGTATTGTACCTTCATAAGTTAATGTATATTTTTTATTAACCTTTATTTACGCCTGGAACCATGAGAATATCTATAGAATATTAGAGAAACTAAGATATCATAAATTAAGATGTGCATCATTAGTAGTGTGTAACCGATGCTGTAGCTTCATTAGCTTCCTTCTAACTGAGTTTCTAACAGTTTCTTACTGTTTTCTCATGGAAATATGTTGATTGCTTATCACTAATCATTTGCCTGGAGTTTGATTAAACATTAACTTTGCAAATTATCAGTATTAGCTGTTCTGTGTCGCAAGTTTAAGATTCTTTCAGTAAAAATAACTGACGAAAGGAAGTTACCCATCTGTAGAGAGAAGAGTTGTTTGTAATATCTACAAACTGAATATTACATGTGAATTTCATCTTGCAGATTTTCTTTCATAATATTTTCTGTTTTGCATGTCTGCAGTGTTTCTCATGCATGGATTTTCCTTGCAGACTAAACAACTCTAAGAATCTGTGAAACGTTTCTGTGATTTCTCTTGGTTTTCCTCCAACAGAGGGATCGTTTTGTGAAGCTCCTGGATCAGCTGCACAACTCTTTGAGAATCGACCTCTCCATGTACAGAGTGAGTGGAAGCTTTTAGCATCATCAGCAGATGAAAATAAGTGGTTTTAATGCAAGAAAGGAAAATATTTTCTGAGAAGATAATGCATAAGTTTGAAATTATCTGCATGAAAATGGAAACTCCATATTTTTCTCTCCCATTTCCACTAGTTTCTCATTGTCTTCCAAAACATTTAATTAGATTAATCCTTAATTTTCACATTTAAATCATTATATGAAGTGGGACTTCACCCTTCACCCCCTCAAGGCTGCAGAGCGTCCACTTCATCATATTCAGCCATAATAAAGTTTCATTTTAGTGTTATTTGCTTTGTTGTGTCCGTTGTTTCGAAGTTTTTTGGATTTGCAGAACTTGTTAGCTGGAAGTCCAAAACTTCATTTAGTTCTTCTAAAGGAAATGCTGTGACATTATTGATCAAAAAACGTAATAGAGAATAGAGAATATTGAATGGATTATAAAATATGATCCAAATCATAACAAAGATGTTTACAGAGCAACAAAACAGGAAAAAAAAAACGTTTCTGCTCTCTTGGGGACTGCAAATACACAACAAAATGCATTTAACGGCTATTTAAGACTATATAAGCCGACTTTTACTAAATCTTATCCACTGCCAGTTATAAAAAGCAGTTAGTTGTAATGTTAAATAAACATTTTTTGTTTTTATTTGTAGAATAACTTCCCAGCCAGCAACAAGGCTCGACTCAGCGATCTGAAATCGACGGTAGATCTTCTCACCAGCATCACCTTCTTCAGGATGAAGGTGACAGAAAAACATCTGACTTATGAAGCTTCATGCTGTGAATGAATTAAACACACCTGATAACTTCTCAGCCTAATAGAGAGAAGTTAAGCAAACAAATACGCTAACTTTGTGCTTTTCAGGCAGTTTGTCCTGCAGTTATCGTGACAGACCACCAGGTTGCTTTAAAGATAACACCATGACGGTTTCATGAAGTGTTTCTGTTTGGTTCTGTTCGCTGCTGCCCGTCCTCCTGCTCACTGTCTGCTGATGTTCAGGTCCTGGAGCTGCCGAGCCCGCCCAGAGCCGCCAACGTGGTCCGGGACTGCGTCAAGGCCTGCCTGAACTCCACCTACGAATACATCTTCAACAACTGCCTGGAGCTCTTCAGCCGCCAGTTCCAGCCTGCCGACCCGCAGGTGAGCGTCAGTCTGTCGATCAGCTACGTTCACTCACATCTGTGATCCGTTAACGAACTGAACAACTTTTAATACGACCCGGAAGTTTGCACAGCTGTTAAATAAAAATCAATCAGACTTACAGAGTTTAGACTAATAATTTATCACTCTGTAAATTTATTTACATGTTTAAATTAAATATATATTTTTTAATATTCACATTAAATCTTTTTATATATGCAAATATAAATTTAATTAATTTTACTTTTGTCTTTAAATTTGTGCCTTCTTTAGCCCAAATGTTGAGCCTAAATATGCGCTGCCTCACATTGTTTTTGTTGTGTATTTTCATATCTTTTTTATTGACTGTAGTTTTCTAATAAATTTTTTTCTGCTTTTTAATTAATAAATGACCCTCAATGACATTTTAATAATGTAAATTTATATCAAATAATAATAACTCGACTATTAAGATAAAGTTTATGACTGCTATGGTTACAGTGGTGATGCTGAAGAGAATTAAATATTAAAATTATAACTAGTAGTCTTTGTAACCTTCTTATTAAAACCTAGTCAACTACTAAAGGTAAGTTCACGTTACTATTATTATTATAAGGTGTACTATTTCTTGATATTCACATTAACAATAGATAATATCGTATCTGATCATTAATATCTTTTTTTCTACCACAAGGATCAAATATACAAATAAAATAGAATGAGAAAATAATAAGATCTATTATAATCCATAATATTATCTATTTTAATCCTTAATTTGTTCCTTTCTGTCTATATTTTCAGATTAAATAAAACACTTTCTCAACCTTCAGTGGTTTTTGAAAATCTTCTGATGCATTTCAGTATTTCTAAATGCATTTAAGGATTATTATGTGAAGTAAAATTTATTCTCACGGCTGCTCCACAAACTAATGGACTAATAAGAGTCACCATCAGCGCCTCTGAATATTTTACAACTTTGTTCTGAAATATGTCTGTTAATGAGTGGAAACTTGTTTTTCTGTCTTTTTATTGTGCATAAATTAACCAAATGTTTGCAAAGATTGCTCAAAGTCTTCTTCTTTTCAACTATTCAAAATTTTTCAAATTGATTTTTCTGTTTGCAGCCTGAGGAGAAAAAAAAGAAGAAGAAAAAGAAGGAGAAAGCTGAGGGAGAAGCAGAGGATGGTGAAGAGGAGGAGGAGGAGGAAGAGGAGGAAGAAGAGGAAGAGGAGAAAAAAGAGGAGAGTCAGCCTGAAGAGCAAGGTCCGAGCATCCAGAACCTGGACTTCTGGCCGAAGCTCATCACGCTGATCGTGTCCATCATCGAGGAAGATAAAAACTCTTACACGCCCGTCATCAACCAGTCAGTACCGACCGCTTTGATTAGTGCTCACATTTACTTCCTTTTCATTCACCTGAACAGGTTTACACTTATTTTCATGATCAAGGTAAATTCAGTTTCTTTATTGTCACTTCAAATTAGCACATCAAGATTTAAATGCATAAAATGTCATAAAAATTTTAGATTTTTCTGTCATTCACTTCAACTTTGTTATTGAGAAAGTTGGTCCATCAGACAACATCAGAAGTCTTTAAATTATTATTTTGTAACTCAAATATGGCAGCAATGATGACATAAAATGATTTGCCATCATGGCTACTCTGATGATGACTTACTCATGTCAGCATGCTGGATGCTTAAAGAATTCTACTTCTGTCTGATTCTTATGTAGGGACTGTTAAAATTAGATTCTAAGAAAGGCAGTCAATGCTGAAATATGGCATAAATAAAGTAAATGAATCAGCATCACAGTAAAAACAACATTCCCTGTCCTGATCAGCGGGACACTGTGAATTCCACAACCTTGATCCCAACACACACACACACACACACACACACACACACACACACACACACACACACACACACACACACACACACACACACACACACACACACACACACACACACACACACACGCACACACACCCCCACACACTATTCAGAACAAAGGAACCAAAAAGTGACAAAGATACACAAAAACTACTTCAGTTGTTCACATTTAGCTGTTCCTTTCTGACCCTTTTAGATTTCCTCAGGAACTCAACGTGGGTAAAGTCAGCGCTGAGGTCATGTGGACTCTCTTTGCTCAGGACATGAAATATGCTCTGGAAGGTAAAATCACGTTTGCTGGTTGGTACCATCTCCATCCTTCCCTCTAAATCCACGGCATCAACTCTCTTCTCATTCTTCTTTATCATTTCCTTCAGTTTTGGATAAAGTTGATCACTATCGCTGGAACAATGGTGAGGCAATGTAGCCAATAGTCAATAGGTGTTTATATTATCATAGTGCATTTATCATTGTTTCTATTTCTATGCAACATATTCAGGGTATCATACAAAACTCATCTATTTGCTGTTAAACTCGCATTAAATATTGTTATTCCTCTCTTGTTGGCATTTCAATTAAATATGTAAAACAAAAAAAACAAGCCAGTTATTTTACCAGTCAGAAAAGATTAAAAGTTAAGCAATAGTTGTTTTTATCAAAACTTTAAAGACTACTATCATAAAACCCCTAAAATTAAATTTGAAACAAATTGAATACAGGGGTTTTTTTTGTTTGTTTTTTTTTTTTTTTTAAATGAGCCATTGCAGATAGAAAAACAATTTGCCAAAAATTTCTGAAATTTTCTAGAAGAAACAAGAACGTATCTGCGTTTGAATAGGCAAAAAATTCTAGGATTAATCTCAACATTTCCAAGATTTTTGGTGGCAATATAATCTTTTTTTTCTGTGTATATTGGCTCAAGAACGCCGTCATAGACAACCTGTTTAAATAAAGGTGAAATTAAAATAAATTAAGAAAAATAAAACATATATTCAGAAGATTTAGGGGGTTTTCCTCTTTGGAAAATCATTGTTTCCAAGAGTTAATGCTGACTGGGTTAGCATAGCAGTAGTATTTGTTTATCTGACAGAATGACATGCTAATCTTTGTAGATAAATTTCCATTTTATGTAAGTTTAATGGACAATAAAGGAGTCCAAAGTCTAAAGATAGCCGCTAACAATTGTTTCAAAGCAGTGTTAGCTTAGAAATCAAGATTTGTGGGTTTCCTCTTGTTACTAAGTTATGAAAGTTGTTTTTTGTTAATCTAATGAGCAGTAGCGATTTTTAGGTTGTCCTAGATGTCATGCTAACAGCTAACTGACAGCATGCAGCAACGTGTGGCCACAGTGAAAGTGCCTCTGTCTTGAGAATCTCCTCGTAATGGGTTGAAACTATGTGAGAACTTATATTTAATATAACTAAATAAAACCTTCCTGTGGAAATAGTCAAACTTTCCTCAACCTATATTATTTATAAATGTAAATCTCCTTCACTGTAGCTCTACTGACACTTGTAGAAAGTCCTGCAACATGTTTTATCCTGAAGTATTAGATCATTCGTAAATAGTGAAATTTTTTATTCTGGTTCTGATTTTGTGTGATCTCAGTGTTATTTTATAAATTCATCCTCCTCTGTTTGTTAACGCATCACGCTTTCTTCTCGCTCTCTGAACTCTCTGCTTCACTCATTCTTCTGTTACCGTCTCAGCTCCTGCCACATTTCACATCCGCAGAGTTGATTTTTATGCTGGTAAGACTTTCTGTGTGTGTGTGTGTGTGTGTGTGTGTGTGTGTGTGTGTGTGTGTGTGTGTGTGTGTGTGTGTGTGTGTATTTTAGCATTTCGAATTTTTTTCCACTAAATGCCACTTTTACAATGGAAACAGACGAAGTGGCGTACTGAAGTGCACCAACCTGTGTCATACCGCTCCATGGAAACTAAGCCTTGTAGGGACTTAATTTATGTCCTAAATATGAATTAAAGTTGGGGATCGGTGTGCAAATAATTTATTGTTTATTGTTTTGTTCAAATTTTTTTAAAACTGTCACCATGAGACAGATGCATGATGAAAAATGAGGTAGATAAACAAACAGACTAGCATAATATTAAAAATGATCAAACTTTATTCTTGTAATTACAAATCCTTAGAAAAACTGAAACACATTTTCATTGTTCTGCTTTTTAGTCCCACTTACACCAATATCAGAGTTAACGTTGATGCATAAGGCTGTTTTTAAATTAATTTCACTTCATAAGGGAAAAAATAATGAAATCCAATCTGGTTTTATCTGAAAAAATAATTTTCTTCTATTGTTGTACTCTTTGTGGCAAAAAGTCCATTAAACATTTCCAATAACAGGCAATAAGTTTTTCTATTAGTGTTGAGGAATTTTGGCTCAGTTTTCTTTGTAGAACCAGCAACAAAACCTGTTTAACCCTTTAAGAAATTATTTTTATCAACTAAACAAATTTTTTTTAAAAAATGAAATTTATATTTACTCCACTTTTGCATTAAAATACAGAAAAACAATTAAAAATCTTTTAATTGTTTTAAAAAAAATGAAACAAAATGAATGAATTGTGAAACCACAAACATGCTATAAAATGTTTATACTTTTTTTGCTTGCATGGCAACACTAAATAATTAAATGTTGGCTAATTTGCCCCAATTCTTGATGCACTTTAATGATGGACAATACTTTCAAAATAACTTCACATAATATCACTGAAAATATATAAAATCACAATAGCAAGTTTGATAGACTAACATGAACTTAAATTTATATTTTTGATAGAAAATAGACACTTACTCCTCCACCTTTCATAGCAATGCAATATTGATAATCTAGTCGGTATCAAAATCCCAGAAATATTATCACGTCAGGTATGAAGGGTTATTTATATTGATTGGTTCTGTTGAAAGCAGGTCTTTTGCTGCAGCTTTAAGCTGTTTTCTTTGTTTAATCTGTATAATTTTTCTGTTTTCCTTTTGCAGAGCATGAGAACCATAAGCTGTGCAAGTCTTCAGACTACATGAACCTGCACTTCAAAGTCAAGTGGCTGTACAACGAGTATGTGAAGGAGCTGCCCGCCTTCGCAGACGCTGTGCCTGAATACTCAGCGTAAGGCGCTCTTCCTTTCCCCATATTTCAAAGCGAAGCTCCTCCCTATCGATTTTTGATCAATTGTTTAATTTGTCCCCAATGTGCTGCGTATTGAGCTACACAGTGAAGCGGCTGCTGCCTTGCTACAAGATGGTTCTGGGTTTGAATTCACTCTGAACTAAACAAATGTTTGCTAACTTATGTCTCTTTACACATCTATCACTGCTCCTTCCCAAACTGCAGGAGATATTGAGCACTAAAGTGTCTGGCCAGTTCAACAACTTCTGTAGACTGAGTGAAGAGTACGACATTAAAGATGTCCTCTTATGCTTCCTTAAACAGGTTAAGATAGGTACATGGGGGTTCAAAAATCATGTTCAGACATTTTTTTGCGCAAAATCATTGTCAACCTTTTTCTGACTTGACGTGACCTTTCTACCTGGTGGTAGGTTGGGAAGGTGCCCCCCGTTCTTCAGGACATCTTCATTAGTGAAGGTGGTGGGAAATCTTTGATTTGTCCTGCCTGCGTTTTTGCAGGTGGTTCCTCCAGTTTGTTCTGGCCTGGCTGGCCGAGAACGAGGAGGTGTCGATGGAGTTCATGTCCGGAGCTCTGGAGAGAGACAAGAGAGAAGGGGTGAGTTTTCATTTAACAAAAAACAACTATAAATAATGAAAAACATTTAACTGTCTCCACAATCTGTAATTTAACAATGTTTCCGTCCTGCGAACTGATCCCAGGTTGATCTCATGCATGTCGCTTCTTACTGCAAAACCCAATGAGGTGATGCTTAAACATTCAACTTTTTAATCAGATAAATGAATCTAGGGCTCAGAAAAACTGATTCACTGACGAACCTATTACTGTTGTTTTGGATGTTTTGTTCACTTATTTTGGATATTTAAAATGTATTCCAGCTCCATTGTTAAATGTTCTTTAGAAAATTTATCTTATTATAGTTCAAAATGGTCTCAGCTTTTGATTTGTGGGAGTTAAATTAAGTGTGAAGTTGGTGTCTAAAGGTGAACGTTCGACAGACAGACATGGATGGATGAAAATAAAAATCTAAAGAGGGGATAAAAAAGCAGGATTCTTCCAGGACATTTCTCTGAAAGCAAATCCAGTTTTCACACCAAATGTGTCAGTTTTGGTTCTTGTTGCCTCCGGCAGCAGGACCGACTGTCTTCTGAGTTTCTTATCAGATTGTTGAATTGGACCCTGAGCGCAGCAGCAGAACAGAAGCCGTTAATTTACACCTTCTGCCTGATGAACTCGAGGTCACAGACCCCTTCCTGGATCGTTTTATTGATCCAGGTTCAGCCGGCGCTTCTTTTGGGCCACCAAGAACCCGGTTTTACAGGATGATGAACAAGCGCTGTGTGTTGAACTCTTGGTCTCCTCAGAAGCTGCACTTTATCTTCAGAGCCTTTTGGCTCCTGAAAGCTGGAGTTTAATCTAATAAGGGAGAAGTTTAACACTGAACACTTTAGGTTTTGATTTAGTTTTGATTATGAATCAATAAAGTTTAATTGTATCACACATTTCAGCAACAAGGTAAATCAAACAACATTCAGCCACTAATTAGAGAGCAAACATATTTTATAGTGTGCAATCATCAATGATCAATACGCATCAAATAAATTGATCCAATAATAATCTCTAAAAAAAAATGTCCTCACTGAATTTAAGAAATACAAATAATTTGAGTAATTCTAACTTACCTAAAACAAGACAGAAATGTAAAACTGGTTGTCATCAGCATGGATAGTATATATTACAAGAGATTATGTTGTACTTCATAATATGAGCTGGTCAAATTGTGTAGGAACAAAAGCAGGCTGAGAACGGAGCCCTGAGGGACGCCGCGTGTGATTTTCACTAGCTTTGATTTATAATTACCAAATGACACTAATTAGTAAGAAGTATTTCATAAAATTTTTTAGAATTTTTTTAATTAGTAGACATATACTCTATTTTCATGTCAGCTTTCTCCATCATCTTTAAATAATAAAGCAAAAATTATTTAAGTGAAATAATATGATGCCATTTTTATCTCATTAATCTCGTCAGTCTCTTTGAAAACCAGCTGTGATGTTTTAAGAGTTAAAGCACTACAAAAATTCAAACTCTTACCAAGTATTATTGGTCTAGCTTCCAAAGGAAATATCTTTATAGAAAAAACTTGCAAGTAACTTTTCTGAAAGGTACTTGTCAATAATTCGTTAATATTGATGAAGAAGTTTCAGTCCTGTTGGCAGATTATTTCACTTACTTACAAAACATTTTAGGTGAAATAATCTACCAATGAAACCAGTACATTTTTCAAATCAATATTAAAGAATTATTTACTTAAAACAAATTCATATATCTTGCTGAAAAGTTACTCATAAGTTAATTTATTCTCATTTCGAGAGTATTTAGATATTTGCACTAGAATCTGGGCCAAAAACTTTTTTGTGTGTTTTTGCTGTGAGAACTGAAAGGAACCAACAGCAGAAGCCAGAAATTTGATTCTCTAATTATCTGGGTACAATTAGCATTTTAGCTAGCATATCCAGCCATCTGATGGCTTCCTGTGTAGCAACACTCAATACTGTAAGTGCAGCGGTTAGATTGTCTGAGAGCAGCTGTTTGACTGTAGTTACAGAAATGTGTCGTCTTCTGACTCTTCCTGCAGTTCCAGCAAACATCGGAGCACGTTCTGTTCTCCAGTTCAGTGGTGGACATCTTCACTCAACTCAACCAGAGCTTTGAGATCATCAAGAAACTGGAGTGTCCTGATCCCACAGTGGTGGCCCAGTATAACAGACGCTTTGCCAAGGTGAGGGTACTGAGATTTGAGCTCGACTCCAGTCTTATAGAGCTACTGTACTACTTTTGTTACATTTTTAGCTGCTTTAAATCCAATTAAGCTGCTGCTGGCCTCAACTCTTACACTCACAAGAGAAAATGGCCGCAAACAATTGTGCAGTTAAACAACCGTAAATCTTTGACAAGCAGAAGTGGAGCCTCCTGCACAACAACAATGCATTAAGTAGTTTCTGAATGGTAAGTCACCAACTAAACACCTGTCTTTTCCAGCAGCCATTGTACAGCGCATACAGTGGTAAAAACAGCTGACCAAACGTGTTGGAGATCTGCTTTTGGTTGCTAGGTGATGGGCTGGGGTTGCTAGGTAACGCTTGATTATGACTTAATAACCAGGAGGTTTTTGAAACAGCTCCTTTTCCAGACACCAGAAAACGTGTTTTTGCCAGAAAATGACTGCACGGTTTCTTTTTTTAAACGGTTGTTTTGTGTTTAAAAGCATTTGAGACTCAAATGGAAACATAAAAACTTTCAAAAAGTTAATTTTGCCCCCTTTAAGAGTTCTCTCCAACCACCTCTGACAAAGAGGTGTGTTAATTTTTTCACCTAAAATTGCTGCCCTGCTGCAGATTATGGTCATTTTCACCTTCTCACATCAGTTGTTCATGTAAAGTATCCAAACCAACAGTTTAACATTTCTGTTATGCTCAGATGTTCTGTAGTTTCACACATTTTAGGCATTTCCATTAAAACTAATGGCCCTTAAGGCTGGATCGATGTGGGACTCATTACATGAAGAAGGGCTAATTTAGCCACCGCTCTGACCCCTGCCAGAGACAGAGCGATGACTTCTCACTTAACTCCACTCCACTTATGTTTTTTTTAAAATCCCCCCGTTTGTTTCTCCCTTTTTGTCTCTCATTTGCTTTGCAAACGTTTTTTGTCTACCCTCGTCTAGATAACAGCAGTTATTCATCTTTATGACAGCAGAGACAGCAGCAGGGAGGTCTAACTGGACAGACAGACAGACCGAGGGACGTACTGCAGGCTGTTAACAGCTCGAATGTTTAATGCATGAGCCCACCGACCGGCTGAGTCAGCAGAAAGCCGGAAAATCTGTCACAGCGAGTTCTGGACGCTCTGAAGGGAAAACGGCAGAACTTTCGTCCTTCCTGTCCATAAGTTCCCGTCTTAACTCAGAAATTAGACCGCTGACTTCTTAAAAATGTGGCCGTTGGAGGTTTGGATGTAAACAAATGTGACATTTAGGGTTTCTCACCAGGAGAGAGTGCTCTGTGCAACCTCGCTCGTTAACATTTTCTTGACCTTTTGTTTGAATGTTGTATTCTGAAATCTGCATTTTTCAACAAAAAACAACTTTGAATAAGCATCCAAGCTTTTTTATTTGCTGTCGAAGGGTAATTTCTGGGATAACATGCAGTCTGGATCTGTTCAAAAGTCCAAATAACCTCATGCTGCTCCACTAACTTACTGGCTTTTAGCTTTGAAAAGTTCAGTGCTCACATTGTTTATTTATCTAGCATTTTAAAACAGGATGCACAGAAGGAACAAAATAAATTATAGTAGTTAGAAAGAAAAGAAGAAAACACACAGAAAACATGAATTAATCCAGAGGAGTAGCTGTTGGTCTTTAAAGGGGGCCTATTTTCCATGTTTGAATTCTTCCAATTGGGTTTTTACTGCTTCTGAAAATAGACCAACCGCTTAGAAATAACCATTTATCTTTTTTCAGTAAGTTTATATTTCTTATTGGTGTCTGCAAAGTGAGCCGTTTCAAAAACTTCTACAATGTAACATCACAGGTCAGAAGGCACTGCCCATTACCTAGCAACCCCAGCCAAGCCAGTCTGTTACCTAGCAACCCCAGCTGAGCCAGTCTGTTACCTAGCAACCCCAGCTGAGCTCCAGCATGTTTAGTCAGCTGGTGCGCTGCACAATGGCTACTGGAAAAGAAAAAAGTTTTGATGTCGACTTACCATCCAGGAAATGCTCGCTGCACTGTTATTGGCTGTGCAGGAGGCTCCACTTATGCTTTTCAAAGATGCACGGTTGCATATCTGCTCATTTGTTTGTAGCCATTTTCATGTGCAAGGTTGAGTAGAACAACTCATTTGATTTTAAAGTGACAAATCCCCTTAAATCTTCATTCTGAAAGAAGCTCAAAGTAGGCACAACTGAGCAGCATCACAGAATATATCAAGAATCATAGAAATGGTTCCTGAAATGCACAAATCAAACATTTTAGTTTGCTTAACTACTCTGTATTTGGCTGCAACATTCTAGTGAACTGTGTACAGTTTTGTTATTTCACTTCCTGGAATATTTTGACTTGTTGCTTGCTATTGGCTCCTTTTCTTCCAAGGAATGCGCTGATTGGATGAAAAAAGCAGCGTTATTATTTTCTGAAAGGAAAAGGTGCCAACATTTAGAAACTCCAGTATATCCCAAAGTGTTTTCTCTTGTTTTTCGGGTTTCCACAGACCATTACCAAGGTTCTGCTGCAGTACTGTGCGGTTCTGGCCAAGAGTTTTCCATCGTATTGTGAGAAAGAGAAGATAGTGAGTAGCTTCTGTTATAAAACTATAACATTTGTGATTCTTTGAGCTCAAATGAACCTGATTTCATTCTGTTTCCTTTACCTTGATCACTTGATTGGTCTATTTTTGTAATTTTCTTTCCTAAATGCAGTCGTCTCTTGTGTTTTCCTGCAGCCCTGTGTGCTGATGAACAACGTCCAGCAGATGAGAGTCCTGCTGGAGAAAATGTTTGAGTCGATGGGAGCAAAACAGGTAAGCAACACAATCCTTCACTACCATTAACTCATGGCTCTGAAACGACTTGAATGTCTTCTTCAAATCCAGATTTCACTGGATGAATCATTAAATTACTGCATAATCAGTGATATTTTCTGAAGTCCTTTCTGCAGAACTAGCAAAATTAGCTTAGCTAATGTTGCTTTTATCTGCAAGCTAAAACGGACATGCAGCCTACCAAGATGGCGGTTCCTGTGGGAACTATGTATTACTAATAATCGATAACCGACACATCAAACTCTATTTAGCTGAAAGTTTACAAAACAGCCAAATAAATTAGCGGTTTGGGATTTATCCAGAAAACATTATTTAAGTTTTAAGTGCGCTAAATATTTTTCAATGTTCGCAAAAATGCTAAAGCGCTAAATGCAAAATTAGCGGATTAGTGGAAGTGGCTGCAACACTTCCCTGTTATTTTTTACAGTTGTCAAAAGTTTACACTACTGGTCAGCAGGTGTCGCACTGCAAATCCTCAAAATTTCACCAACTATTTTAGTCTTGTTTCTAGTGAAAGTATCTTACCACAGTTGAAATAAAACAAAAATATCTTACAAATAACTTTTCAGCCAGTGAAACTCAAACTTTTTACAATTCTTAAGGAATTACTGACCTCAAACAACCTGCTATATTTTGCTGAAAAGTTACTTGTAAGTTAATTTTTCAAATGTACTGAGATGTTTACACAAAAAACTAAACGGAAATATAGATATAGAAAGATTTTGTGTTTTGCAGCGAAGCATTGAATGTACAGAGAAAATGCTAATCTCTTCTTCGGATATCGGAGTCTTCATAATTTTAAGTCTTGTTTGCATAAATATAAAAGATGGAGGTTTAAAACAGTAACTTTATGTCAGAAGTAAAGCTGATTCTTTGCTCCTGTGCAGTTAACAGCTGAGGAGGAGAGGGTACGTCTGAATTTTCTCTCACCCTCCTTCCTCCTGTCAGTGGGAAGATAAACCTTTTCCCTCCCTGCAGTCTGTAGTTCGGATATTTTTAGATTCCTCTTCCTCCTTCTGACAATTCCTCTTTTCACTACCAATAAAAAACAAACCAAAAAAATTCCCGTTCCAACTGATCCATTGCTGCGTTTTTTCCAAAAAGCTTGAGGATGAGGAGGAACCTGACGAATGCGTTGAAGAGGTGGGTTTTATGGACAAACTGAGTTTTTAATTTTGTGTTTGAAATGCTACATAGAGGTACAGTTGTCAAAAGTTTACATTAAATCATTAATTTGAAGTTTTAATTATTTATCTGAATTGGGGTTTTTTCAAAGCAGGATGATCAGAAAACTCAACTTTTAGCAGTAAGAACATCAAGATGCAGTTTTAATTAAAAATTACATTAATATATATATAAATATATATGTATTAATATTATTCTTTTAGTAAATATGCAAAATTTGTTGTTATGTAAAGCCAGTTTTTAAATTGCAGTCAGAGATAAAGATGTACATCCTTTGTTCTTCAGCTAAAAGGTTTTGCTCTGTGGGTCAAACCTATTATATATATTTCATATTAATCCTGTCCAGAAGAATATGAATAATGAGGAGTGTTGCTATTTTTACTCCATAAGGTCAAAGGTGACATACGAGGTGGAGCTCAGGGACGCCTGTGAAAAACCAACGTTTTTATTATGTAGAGCCAAATGCTTTGAACGAACAGTCACAACGGAGACTTTACATCTCCTTAAACGCCACCAAATTAAATGTTTTTGTTACATAAAAGAGAAGAAAATATGCATCAAGATCAGAAAACCTAAATCAAAACAGCTGTGTTGTTGCTGTAATCTTGGTTTATTTCCATTGTAATAAACAATGTATTTAAAACATTTTATCTCATTATGAATGTAGTTTAGGTTAAATTCCCCTCATGACTCAACTACGCCACCCGGTGACATAAACTGGTTCCTGCATTAAACTATTGCTGGTCTAATTAATAAAATAGTTTTAGTTAGTTATAAAGGAGCTAATCTAGATCATTCTTCTCCTCTAAAGATGTAATAAAACTCATAAATAATAGATATTTGTTTCTCTGAAATAGGCTATTTTTATAGATGGATGAACTGATGAATAGATGAATGGATGAATGGACACATGAGTGGATGTAGCGATGGTCGGATGTATTATCAGATCTCCACATGGACTCATTTCTCTATAATCACATTTCTTTGTCTGTTTTCATTTGTCTGTTTAAATTTCTCGTCATTCCCCCTTATGCCCTGTTATTTTTCCTGATATTTCCTGTTATTCCTTGTTATTTTTCCTGATATTCCCTGTTATTTTTCCTGATATTTCCTGTTATTCCTTGTTATTTTTTCTGATATTCCCTGTTATTTTTCCTGATATTCCCTGTTATTTTTCCTGATATTCCCTATTATTCCCTGTTATTCCCCGTTATTCACCGTTATTCCCCGTTCGCTCGTCGCCAGCAGGCCGTTAGCGATAACGAAGGAGAAGATGGCATGGTGGGTAGGAAGCAGCAGAAAATACAAACCTGGTTTCAGATTTGCTCTTTTTCCTGGTCTTTATATTTTAAAATAACCGTTCTTGTTTTGGTTCCTTTGGTTTAAATCTTCACCGCCTTCAGTCTCAGGACTCTAAGGTGAGAGAAGATCACTGAACTCTTCAATTATCGTCTCATTTTTCACTGTTTTCTTTGATTATTTTGTTTCATTTCTTCATGTTTTTCTTTTAATTCTGCCAAATGTCAGTCTGGCTGCTCAGACTCTGAGGGATCTGAGGTAAGACTGAAGCGAAAGCAACAGAGTTGGGTAGTAACTAATTACATGTACATGAGCCGAATATGCTCTACTTTTTACTTTAGATTCTGTTTTAAACTAAACCTGAGCTAAAGTTAAAAAGTATTTCCCCCTAAACTAATTACTCATCAAGCATTTGTGAGTTTTTCATGTTGCTTCAATTCTTCTTGCAAAATTATTTACATTCAGACACATGTAAGGTTTCAATTGAGTTGCATTTGAAGTTCATACTTTGACTAGGCCACTTTAAAACATTCACTTTGTTGTTTTAATAAGTGCACATGCTTTGGAATAAAAAAATACACATAAAAAAAATATTTACTGCACAAAGCATTAATTCAAGCCCCCAGTTTGTATTTGTGGCATGTTTTCTAAAGAGAGCGGTTTGTGTGTGTAACTCTGTGCGCTCTCTCTGCTGCCCCGTCGCAGGTCGACAACAAGGAGAAGGAGAAGGTCGGTCGGTCAGATGGGCGTTTTGTGTGTAATGCTGTACAAAAATAGCTGAAAATGTTAAATGCTGTGAAAAAGTTCAATAACTTTTCCAGAAAGTGAGACTCATATTAGAATAAGTATTTTTGGTCTAATTTCTAATATGTCTTAGTACACTTGCAGTAAAACAGAAATGTTTTGCAAGTAGCTTTTTAGCAACAAAAAGGAGCTTGTTTAAGTAAATCATTTCTTAATATTGATAAAAAGTTATAATTTTATTTAGAACAAGACATTTTTGCATTGTGTATTTGAAATCTACTAATGGAAATATAACGTTTTCATTATTATCAATAAATTTTTGACAAACAATAACTAATAACTGACTTAAACTCAAATAAGCATATTTAGGTGTAAAGATAAGTTAGTTTTGTCTTATTTGAAGTGTACTAAAATATTTGAATTAGATCCTGGACTTGGTTAGATTTATAATATTGAATAAAGAAAGGCTTGAATAAATCAGTGGAATATTTATTATTCTGATTAATAATAATCAGAATAATAAACTATAATTTGAAGCCTTTTTTTCTAATGAATCAATAAAATATGAGTTTCACTTTCTGACATAAGTGAGAAAAAGCATTAAACTTTTTCCCACTACGTTTCTTGAGCTGTGCTTTGTCATAGTGAGCTTTTTTTTTTGAGTTGAAAGACACAGAATCCCATCAGAGCAGGAAACTCCAGCTGCGCTCAGTTATAGACGTCAGAAAGACAAAACAAATTAAAAAGATTAGCTTCCTGCTGTTGCATGGAGTTTTGGAGACATGTTTTATTGTATCTCAGAGAAAAGATGTGGGTTTCTGGCTGCTGCAGTCAGTTAATCAGAGATGACTGAAGAGGGAGCTGAAGTGGAAACCAAACACTTGAGATAAACTTTTTCTTTGGTGCACAGAACGTCTCATAGTGGTAGAAGAAACCTCAGCCAATGGCTGTTGGTGAAATCTGGTTGAATTTAATAGATTTCAGTTTGTTTTGTGATTAGAGCAGTTGTTATCTGCCCTCCTGTAGGACGACTCCTCAGCTTATGATGAGAGCGAAGACGAGCAGGAGAAGGTTTGCTTTGTTTGGCCTCTCGCTGCGAATGCAAGCAGTTAATCCATTTAGGATTAATTATCGATTAATGGTTTATTAGATTAAAATTAGATGCAACCGATTAGCTAGTAACGTCTTTAAGTATTTAGTTTGGCTGCCGTCCAGCAGGGGGCGACGCTGGGCGTCCTTAACTGGGGTCAGTTGATACAGAAACAAAGATGGCGGGGCCATAACAACAAGAACGAGGAAAAAAACTCTGAAAAAAAACTAATTCCAGAAAAAAAAACTTTTTTCTCAAAATTAATTTTTTTCTCAGAATTCACTTTCTTCTCCAAATATTTTATATAATCTGAGAAATCCCATTTCATCAGAATTTTGTTTTTCTCCAAATTTTTGCTTCAATCTCAGAAGCCTGACAAAAAAATTCAAATTGTGTTTAGAGGCCCTAATCTTTTTCCATAAAAAGTCACTTTATGCTTTTTATCTTTCAAATAAAAACTTGACAAACTCATTCAAGTTTTCCTTCTAATTGCGCTTCATTGAACCGAGCTGCCTGATGGAGCAGCATTAACTTCTCAACTAAAAATTATGTATTTGCTACGAAGGCAACAAAATAATGTTGAAATTTTATGATTTTTTTAATACAAAAGTAAAAAGATTTTTAAGAAAATGTCCGCTTGTCAATAAATATCTAGACAATCGATAACATTTGCTCATTAATCGATAGCTTGCATCCTTATTTCCATCTTCATTTATTTAACGAACCTTTGCTGCTCATGGGAATCCTCACATTGGATCATTATTTCCCCTCGTTTCTCCTGTGTTGCCCATGTTTCTTTTTTCTGTGTGACGTTGTCCTGCAGCTTTAGGACGGCGTCTGAAAGCTGCATTTCTTCTGCAGCTGGATCAGGTTAATGGCTGCTTCCATTCAGCTGTTTTGCAAGGATTGCATCCCAAAGCTGCAGGGTAGTTGCTCTCCCTACTCCATTTCCCTCCTCTTATCATTATTTAAACTGTCATGTTTTTCTGTTCTTCCTTTCTTTGGTCAAAAGCTTGACGAAGAGAAGGTGAGCCATAAACAGAATAACTTGACATTTACGTTTGTTTTTATTGGTTTTATTTAAGATTTTAACCAATTTTCTATTTATTTATTTTTATATTTCAATCCCTTTTCAGACTGAAACTAAAAAGGAAAAGGTTTGTTTGTGCTTCTAAATCCTCATCCTGATAGTATTTCTCAAATCTTCAGCTAGTTTTTGAGGTATTCTCACACAATTGCGACTATTTTCATTATTCCGACTTTATTGTAGTATTATGACTTTATTCTCATAATATTATCTCATTCTTGTACCACTGACTTTAGTCACTTATCATTATAACTGTGTTCTTATAGTATTTCGACTTTATTCTCATTATACTATGTCTGGTAATATGATGTTATTCTCATAACACTATGAAAATGAAAAAAAAAAAAAAGTCTTGGCTTTAATACTCACCATAAAATATATTTGTTTATTGTGCAAGAAAAATATTGCATAACTTCCTTCTTGAATGTTTTCATCCTCATTTTTGCCACAGGAGGAGTCTAACACCAAAGAGGTGGGTTCTTAAATCACATTATTAATTAGTAAAATGGAAGAAAAAAAGGTGATAAAAGAAAACAAACCACTAGTTACCCAGAAGAAGCTCACTTCATTCTTTTTATGCCAAGACTTTCCTTTTAAAATGAGGAAATATTAAAACTCTGTAAATGTGAATGGAGAGGAAAAGCAACAGAATTCAAAAGCTCTTCTTGTACAGACTGACTGAAATTGTTTAGCTTGTTTTCAGCTTTAAAATAATTGAAACAAACTAGAAACAGGTTTTATTCCTGGTTTTTAGAGTTTTAATGTCTTTAGAGGAAAACATAATTCAAATCCTATTAGTAGATCAAATAAACATCCACAAATCCACTGTATAGATGTTCATGTTTCTTTGTGTTGTCATTGCGTGCGATAACTTTGAGACCCATTTAAAGACGACCGGGTCAATGGTTCTGTCTGCTGACCCAGTTTCCTCCCACATTTCCCAGAAGTGTTTCCACTTAATTCTACCATCAGTGGCTGCGAGAAACCCATTTTGGATCTATTTGTCCATTATTTACCTCTGCAGAGTGTGCTTTTAGATTGTTGCTAGCTTACGGAGAAAAGGCTTCCTGAGACGGTCATCTTTAATGTTTTATTTTTTGTTTGGTTTGCTTTTTAGTCAAAAGATGAAATCAACAAGGTTTGTTTGTGTAATGAACATCATCTTTCCTTCCCATTTTATGTGATAGATATAGATTGTTGGTACTAGAATAAGTGGCAAGTGCCTAATTAATAACTGATGAAATAATTGTTTACATGTGTCATTCATTTACTAAAATGAATGATGCATTAAATGTTTTCATATCATTTTAAAAGGCAGATCAAATTATTTCATCATTTAATACATTATTATATGTTCCAGTGTTTTCAGCACATCAATTTAAACTGTCACTTTCATCCGTTAACTCTGTGGGTGGGACTAACGGAGACGTTGATCTCTGACTGGCTGCTTCTGTACAGACCCCGATGTCTGATTGGCTGCTTCAGAGTCGAGACAACTTCGTCTAAATTAGCTACAACTCTGACGTCAATATAATATATTTACACTAGAAAGTGCATAAATATCTCCAATAAATTATTGCACTTTATTTACTACAAACTCTTAGTGAGCAGCTCAAGCCTCAACAGCTGTAGTTGGGTCTGAAATATTAAATATTGATAATAGCATTGAAGAAGCTGTCAAAGACGACTGTATCAACTTTAGCCTCGCCCACTAGCTAACAGCAGCTAATGCTGTCTTGTGAACTTCTTACCGACATTTCAGACCAAATTAAAGACATAGAGGCTGCAGTTGCTCACCCAAAGTTTGTGGTAAATACATTATAGCAATTTATTGCCATTATTTCCATACTTATAGTGGAAATATTGACTTCAGAGCGGTAGCAAACTTCAAAGGAGTTGTCTTGACTCGCTGCATGAAGCAGCCAATCAGAGCCCAGGGTGTCTGTAGAAGCGGCCAATCAGACGTTAAGGGGTCTCTTAATCCCGCCCAGTGAGTTTGATGGGTGAAAATGACAGTTTTGATTAATTCTATGTAGTAAATCATGAATTAATTATAGTCACTTTGTGCCCATCTGTCATTAAGTGATACTTCTTATTACGTTTGTCTTATTTTTTAAATTTTATTTTTCTTTCTGGAAAGACTGAAGCCACTGCTGTGGTCACGAAAAAGGTACGAAACTAAATGGTCAAAGGTGATTTTGCTGCACTTTTTGTTACAAAGTTTGTTATATTAGCAGAGCAGGGATTAGCTATGTGGAATGTGATTTTTTTTTTTCATATGCAGAAAAATTGTATAATTTTCAAACATTATCTCAATGTTTATTCAGCATCTTTGCTTTTGTTGGTTGATCCATCCGTCCCATCCAGGATGTGTGCATTGCAGTCTGCAGATTTTTATTTATTTATACGCTTAAAATTATTTTACACAATATTAGAAATACATAAAAAACTTAATTTCTTTTGTAAATAAGAAAATCAATACTTTTATTCTATACTTGATCATTTGTAGCAAAGGATGCAACTACTCCTAACTTATTAATACAGTACAAAGCTGAGCTGTTGATTATTTTATTGATTAATACAATTAGATTTTATTTTTAATATATTTTTAGGTGAAACTAAATCTCAGGAGTTCTGGGTTAATCTTTCCTGTTCAGTTTGCCCTTTTTGGGAAGCTGCAATGTCAGCTTTGCTCTTACAATCTGCTGCTTTAAATTGAGTAAACTTCCAGCAGTGAAGGTAAACAGAATAAACCAGCTTAAAGTTTAAATATCTTATCATATGAAATAAAAACTGTGCATGACCTTCACCTTGATGTTTACATGCCCATAAATATGTTTTACGTGACTCTGCGTAAACACAGCTGTGTGTTTTGTTCACCGACCTTTCACCTCCAACATTTATCAATTATAATGCAGGAAGGTGGAGCTTTAGCCCGCTTATATAGACTCTGTGGCAGCGTGCCCAGTGTCTGCTAGCTAATAATGCTTTTCTGCGTTATTGATGGAGTTTTTTAATAAAGACAGATTAGGACGCTTCGCCTTGTAGTCGTCCAGCTGCTGCTGCTTTGACTGGTGTAACACGCAGAGCATCCAAATGCGCTGCAGTTTTCTTACTCCTAGATTTATGAATGGTTTGCTACCAAGCAGCTCAAATTTAATGTTGAAGGGTTTTTTCCATGAAGAAGCTCCATGTTATGTCCACGATTGTTGGCCCATTTTGGCTTTTACATTCATTTCTGTACAGAAAAGAACAAGAAAAACATAGAACATGTCTTTCTGTCAACACTTAAAGCGATGAAAACTGACACCGGAGCGTCTCCTTAACGGAGCAACTGAGCAACATTGAATGTGACATTGCAGCTGGTTCTGGCTGCAGGTATTGACTGCAAACTGCGTCGGCCCGGTTAGCTTATCTCTAATCCTTTTTGTTTCTAACCATGTTGCAGTTGGATACTGAAGCCGCCAACATCCTCAACGAACTCCAGGTGAAGCTCAACACCGTCCTGGACAACTTTAGTGCCGTGTTTGCCAAAAGGTAACAACCCTCAGGACCTGGTTCGGACCTGAACCCCAAATTAATGTGAACGATGTTAAAAAACTAAATCTGTTTTGCTAACTCAATCCCCAACAGTTTCCAGAATCGTATCAATGGCTGCATGCGACAGATGGCGGAGATCCTCTACCAGATGAAAGGCCCACCCAACCACAACACTGCAGAGGCGGACGCCGACACAACGCTGAGGCCCCTGATGGAGTTCCTGGACGGGAAGTAAGTCATCGAGTTGCTCAGACTGGGACCGTTTATGGATATGCATAAAATACTCAAATATTAGGAAATTCTGGACTTATTGAACTTCTTTTGGGACCAAGATGGAACCATTTCACATGTCACACTTTAAACCTAATGATGTGGAGGCCAGCTAATGATGTACAGCAATTTTCTTCAGTAAAATAATTTTTTTTTTGAGAAGGCACCAAAACTGGCCCAGCCTTTGGGCCCTTAATCTCCTATCTCCAGCCCTGCTCATTTCAGTATGATGGCCACCATAGATAAAAAAAAAAAAATAAAAAAATTTTAAAAAGGGGTGAATTTTCAGAGACAAAAAAAAACATTTTCTAGAAAAACAACTAGAAAATTTCTGAGATTCAAAAGTCAAAAATCTTTGTTTTTCTAGAACATTTCTGATGTTACCTTCAAAATGTGTTTTTTTCTGGCAAATTTTGAAATTCTCAAACTAAAAGGATTTTGAGGAGAATCTCAAAATTCCCTAAGAAAATTTCTACTTTTCAAACTAAGAAATTTGAGATTTTTCTTGAAAATTTTTGTTTTTCTGTGCTTATTATATTGTCATACATCTATCTGCCTTACAGACAAAACAACAAATAATTTAATTCACAACTAAATAAAATTCATAATTAAATATCTTCAAATAAAATGTAGACTGTTAATTTATCCTAGTCTGGTGTATTTTCTCAGACTGACCTCTTTAATATTTCATATTTTAAACTCCCATGTTTTCTCTTTGTGATCCAGCCTCAGCATTTTCGCTGACGTCTGTGAGAAAACGGTGCTGAAGAGAATCCTGAAGGACCTGTGGAAGATCGTCCTGGGCAGCCTGGAGCGGATCGTCGTCCTTCCTCAGAGCAACGACAGCCTGGTGAGAGAAACTCTGAGGGTCACAAAACCACTCAGGCAATGGGGTTTATTTGAAACATTGTACATAAAAACCTCTAGAATCAAAGCAGCAGGACTGTAATTTTCTCCCTACAACGCACCAGGAAAATTGCCAATTATAAGAGTAGAGGAAAAGGTTTCATACGACAATAAAAGTCGGGTTGGAACCATGTTTAGCTAAATGAAACTCATAATTTTACTGTAAAATTTGTTTTTGTTGTAAGTGGAGGCCTCAGAGCGCAGGAGGGAGGATGAGAAAAAATTGAAAAAAATTTAAAAAAGGACTGCAATATATTTCTAAATCAGATTGTTTGTTATTGATGTCGTTATTATAAAACGTGAGTTGAAATGGTAACACTTTATATGAAGACTGAACATGAAGAAGTCTTTATGAAGGTTTGACTATTTGGTAAATAATGACACTTATTGCAAAATGAACACTTTTAATGCAAAAATGTCTCGAATGGTGCATCACGAAAAACATTATTTTCCATGCTGCCAGTCAAACTATCAACTTTCTGTATTAATTTATCAACAGTAAATAAAAGTCAGTAAAAAAACAGTCAAATTTAATGTTTCTTTTTCTATTTTGCAGCATTTTACCTGTATGAAGTGTGATAGGCTGTGCTGCCCCCTGCTGGTGGCTGTCAGTCACCGTTTCGCTTTTCTAGGATTTTGCAGAAGTTTTGCTCAGTGTTTTCTCTGTGTTGTCTGTTTGTGTGTTTGGGATAAATTACTTTCAGATGAAATGTTTTTCTCTGTTTGTTTTCAGGGAGCTCAGCTCCTCACAGCAGCGAAAGGACTCTCGAATCTCAAGGTAGCAAAGCTTCAATCAGAGGCATTTCTTTCTCTGACGGGTTTCTGGGGCCTAATTAGACCTTGGTAATAATTACTGATGAAGAAAAGTAAATACATTGCTGATAAATAAAATCAAAAAGCCTAAAAATTGACAGTTTTAAGTCACACTGCTTTTCTTGGATTGGCTAGAAACTAAAATGCAATAAATGGGGAGTGAATACTTTGACTAGGCAGGGGTGTTCAAACTTTTGGAACAAAATGTAGTCATTTCTTAGCAATGAAGTCAGCTTTTTGACTAAAAGTAACTTGATGTTCTTCCTGGGGACAGAGAAATAATTGCTGTTGCTAACATATTGTAAATTTTTAATTGGTGTTAATTTACCCCAACTAAAAATAAAAAGTCTAAATCTACGTCAGATGCCTGGAGTGAATCTGTATCATCCTTGAACTGAAATCAGGGGCCAGAAACAATCAGTTCAGGGACTGCAAATGGCCCCCGAGCCTCACTTTGCACCCCTCTGTTGCAAAATGTACACTTTTAATGCAAAAATGTCTCGAATGGTGCATCACGTCGTTCTGCGCACTGATAAATAATTTGTAACTTGTGGATCTGCTGATCTTATTTTGCTTTCTTTACGTTTGTTTTTGTTCTTTCAGGGAGGAGCTGAAGCCAAAACTTTGACTCCTAAGCAATGTGTGATTATTGATGCAGGACTGGAGACCATCAAGGTGAGTTCAACACACACTCCACAAGTCCTGTGGACATGGTCACCGCACAACTATACGTCAAAGATAGTTTGGCCCTAAGAGCACTCACTCGGTCGAGTTTCTCCTGAACCCGACCAGCAGTGATGGAGAAACCAGTTCCCCAGACGCAGGCGTCCATCTTGCCTTTTTCTGACTCTTCGCTGACATCTTGGAGTGAAACATCTCTGAAATGTGATCAGCGATGTCTCACTCTGATCACATTTCAAGCCCAATTTTTTCTCCACCCATTTTTAGCATCAATTCAGTCATGCAATCATTTATGTAACTTTTTAACAAAGTGTAAAAGTAAAACAAAATTGGCCTTATTAATAAAAACTGCCACTGTAGAAACTAAAATTTTACATTATTAGAAAGAAACTATAGTGCCTTACAAAAGTATTCACAGTTTGGTGTTTTACATGAAATTCCAATAGAAAAATAAAATGAGATGCATAAACTTTTACCCACTCAACATAGCCATACAGTTCGCTGTCTCTGAACTTAACCACCGGCTTATTTGTGTAACTTTCTGCCACTATGGACTAATTTACAGTATTTGACAGAATGGTGTAAGATAATGAAACGTTTCCTTGCTCTGTTGTGAATCAGCAATACTTCCACGCTGGAGGAAACGGGCTCAAGAAGGCATTCGTTGAGAAAAGTCCTGAGCTAGCGTCTCTGCGCTACGCTCTCTCTCTCTACTCCCAGAGCACCGACGCACTAATCAAAACCTTCGTCACCACGCAGCATTCCCAAGGTGACTCCACACACACTCTGCAGGTCTGATGCTGGTTGTCTGGTTTATTTCTCTTAAAATCATCTATTTGTTTCATTTGTTGTTGCCTCAGTGCATGATGGGATTGGCATCAGAATCACTGGTAATGAGAAGATTAAACCCGACAGAGGTGAGGCTTTTTGGTGTTGGGGATTCATGGGGTTTGTTCAGCTGATTAACGTTTTCCAGCTTTAACTTGCACCGCAGCAGCAAAATGGAGCATTTCTTTGTTGCTTTACCAACTTCTGTTGGGATGATAAAATGGGTTCTGGAAGCTATGATAAACATGATTAGAAGTTGAGGTTTGTGACTCATATTGATGTTGCTGGTTGTGATGCAGGCTCTGGGGTGGAGAAGCCAATCGGAGAGGCTGTTCTGCAGATCGACATGCTGCTCGGAAAGGAACGCAAGATCAACGTCAGGGGTGAGAAATTATCCTGCCGAAACTTTGAACCTATTTTCTGAAGTTCAGATGCATGTAAAGCTGCATGTTCAGCAGGCAGCACATCTCAACGCCCACAATCTGCATGTCACTGATGTTGAAGGTCAACAGTTTTTCTAGATAAACTTTTCTTTCAAGGAAAAGTGTAATTTGTGTGTGACCAGCTAACGCTAGCTTATTCAATGCTAATGCTAGCATATCCAATGCTAACGCTAGCATATCCAATGCTAACGCTAGCTTATTCAATGCTAATGCTAGCATATCCAATGCTAACGCTAGCATATCCAATGCTAACGCTAGCATATCCAATGCTAACGCTAGCTTATTCAATGCTAATGCTAGCATATCTGTATTAATGGACAGTAGAGAAAGTTATTCTAACTACCACTAAGGTTCTATGCTTTTATTTTGGTAACTTTCTTGTTGAAGTAGCTATGGTAACAGAGTGCAGTTTTACTTGATGAACAACAAAGCAGAAAACAAGCAACAAAATTTTAGCTTCAGTCAATAAGAGGCTCAGTAACAGCGACTGAACTTTGAAATACATATGAAAAAATCTGATGAGCAAAATATAACGACTGATGGAGAAACGTTGTAATTCTCATTTGTTCTTGTCCAGCTGTAGGTTCATAACTAATAGTTCATCCATCAGTCCGATGGACTGGATGTTGTTCATTTCCTGTTCCAATCTGTCCCATCAGTCATTGCGGTGAACGACATGAAGTGGCAGACCTCCGGGATGTTTCGTCCGTTTGTCGAGGTCTCCATCGTCGGCCCCTTTTTGGCCGACAAGAAGCGAAAGTTCACCACGAAATCTAAGAACAACAGCTGGACCGCGAAGTTCAACGAGACTTTCCAGTTGTAAGTACCGCCAAGAGTTCATGAACGCGTCACGTTAGTTTCTGGTTATTTGCTCGTTTTTCTGCTTTTGCAGCGTTTTGGGTAAGGAGTCCCCGGACTGCTACGAGCTCCAGGCGACGGTGAAGGATTACTGCTTCGGCCGGGCGGACCGCGTGGTCGGCTTGGCCGTGCTGCAGCTGAGAGACGTGGCCGACAGGAAGAGCTGCGTGTGCTGGTGTCCCCTCGGGCCGCGCGTCCGCACCGACGACACGGGCCTGACGGTGATGCGTATCCTGTCCCAGCGGCCAGCCGACGAGGTGGCCAAGGAGTTTGTGAAGCTGAAGTCCGAAACCCGGCCGGCGGAGGAGGGCAGATGAGCCGATTCTGACTCAGGACTGAGTGATCGCTGTGTTTCCACTGAAAAATGCGCAAATTGAAATTATGAAAAATGATTCGCTTAATGGAAACACGCCAGTTTATTAAAAAAAAAACAGCAGCTGCTACTGTTCCTAAATATCTGATGCAGAACTGATGCGGTTTTAAAAGTAATCAATTCCCCTTAAACCGGGAAAGTTTCCAATGGTTTGTTTTGTTTCTCCTTGAAAAATATTCACTCGCTGTTTCCATTAAACATAACATTCTGCAAATTGAAATTATGAAAATAGATTATCTTAATGGAAACACGGCAAGTTAAAAAAAACACACATTTTTGATGAAAAGGTTTTAGCACTAAGATGATGTTTTTATCAAAATTGTTTTATTTCGTATCACGAGTCACATGATCAACAACCCGACGTTTCTACTGGCAGAAATCTCATGTTTACATCTGAGTTTTAATGATTTATCGTCTGAACGGCTTAATCACAAGTGATTTTAATTTCATTTTTTGTGAATTGACAGATTTGCACACATTTGTAATACAAATGCAGCTTCTGATTGTATATGGCAATTCAACTTGCTACTTATAAAACATCATTTATTGGGCGCATTTTCAAAGATCTTAATATCCCACAACAAATTATAGATTTTTGGAGTATCAAATGTATTTGTTTTGGTTGCATTTACCCAGAATGCATTGCACTGCGGTCCACTTCCTGCTTTTGGAGCAGTCTCTGGTTCGCTTTGCACCTTTTAACTACTGTGAGTCTTTGAGTCCTCATAAATATCTCTTGTGCCATCAGTACCACCGTTTATTCTGACACTGGACTCAATGTGAGGGGATGATGGAAGAAAACTCTCCGTAAATTAGTCTGAAAATTCAGTAGCAAATGGTTTCTTCTTCTTCTATCCCTGTTGGGTTCAAGGCTGATTTCACAGCTTAACTCCACCGATCAACTCGTAGCACCAGATGTGTCTTAAAGGAAGTAGATGTTTTAATTCTGTTCCCAACAGGAAGTGTGTCATATCCAATCGGTGTTGCTTTTAATCATTGAACGGCTGGTGCAAAAATCATACAGGACTACGATGATGTAGCAAGTTCTCATTTATGACAAAGCCTTAAACTGATGGTGAGCTGCCAAGGTTGGTTCAGTTTACAGTAAGCTGGTGTTTGTTTGAGGCACCATTAACAGAATTTTAGATTTTTTCACTGCATTTAGTTTCCACAAGCAGAAGAACGATTCAGACGGTTTAACCTTAAAATGTATCCATATGTTGGTGGGCACATTTGGCTAACCTGCTAATAGAAATGCTCATTTTTCATTTAGTGTTTAGTAATTTCCTTGGCTGTTTTGTAAGCAGCCAAGTTATCAACTTAAGAATCGATCAGGTAGTTGGAGGTTTTTATTCATGCTTTTATTTTGAAGCGAGTCGAGACTGTTTCAGCAGCAGTTCCATTTCCTGTCCTAGCTGTGTAATAAATTTCACTGTTCAGGGTTTCATAACATGTCAGAGAGTGAGTGCAAACATGGTTGAATTTAGCATTAGCTTCTGCTAAACACCATGTTCTAACATTTTAGCTTTGGGTTTAGCGTAGCTAACTTTTTAGGTAGCAGTGCCCCCCACTGCGGTCTCTAAACAAACCTGCAGCATTGATCAAACCGAATGGCGCACATCGTTTAGTTCTACGCCTGATTACGTGCCAAGGATGGCGAATGTTCAGCGAGTCGCATTTTTTCTGTGTTTCAGTTTCTTTCTGAGACAAATGTGGCCTTTTTACAGTTTCATACTTTGCCGAAATCCGCCAAGCCCTTATTAAACCGAACAGTCTGCAGTGAGTTGAAGACCTACGGCCACATCTGGAGTGACAGCTGGACACTTGCACTCTGCTTAGAGCAAAATTGTAAAATTATAAAAGCATGTATTTATTGTACACAAAATCCACTAGATTTGTGATTTTTGTTTCCTGTATGTACTGTGAAATCGAGTAAATTTATGAAATTATAAATCTCCCAATGTGACATATGTTGAATATACTTGTAACAACATTTTGTACATAAAATATTTATGAATCAAAGTCTTTGTTTTGACTTTTTTTATTAAGTCTACTTTCACTTTGCATTCAGTTACGTTGCTTCTAATCAAAAGCTCAGAGCTTCCCGCAGCCCAGTTTCCCTCATTCTGACCAGACAAAATAATTACGGGAATTAAACTGTTGGGAATATATGACACCATCTATGATGCCGTCAAATGTTTCCTGCCAAACATTTGAAGTAAAAAATTTGCTAGAGAAAGCTCAAATTTTGGGACATAAGAAGTTTTCTAAAAAAAAAAACACGGCGATTTGAGTTTCAAGAGTCTGAAATGTTTTGACTTTCTAAACTCAGAAAATTTCCAAAGGTCAAAAATGTGCCTGTTGAAACCGAGACGAGTCTCAGTTTCTGTTTCTGTTTCAAATTTTGGACTTGAAACTTTTCTAGAACATTTGAGAATCTCAGTTTGAGTGTTTTTTGTTTTGTTTTTTTGCTTCTGTAAGAGCAAAAAAAGAGGAAGATTACATTTCCACCAAAAAATAAAATTTCAGTTTGAAATGTTGAGATTTCAGAAATTCTCTAGAGAAATGTTAAAAATGTATTTTTCTAGCAAATAAAAAAATTTAGGAGCTCAGAAATTTCCTTCTATTTTCAAGAAAATAGAACAAATTTTTTTGGTAGTCAAAGGTTTTTTTAAAGAGCAAAACTATAATTTTGGTTTCAGGTGGACAAAACTGATGACAATAAAATGAGACATTTAGCTTTTTCAGAGCGATATTAATTTTCTTTCTTAGGTAATGATATCCAGTCCAGTATAAAAATCTAAATCCAGCTTTAATTATACACACAAAATCAAACAGCAACACCTGAATTAATCTGCAAAAATAAACATACATAAAACCAAAGACAGGAATAATTTAGTATTGCTGAGAAAAACAGATTTCATCTTGACCTCAATCTACATCCAGCAATTATTTGACTGCATAAACTTCGTGAAACAACTAAACTCATTTACCTCAACAGGCAACAAGTTCAGATATAATACTATGTTGCATAAATAAGGTTAGTTTTCTCACAAACTCTTGATTATGATGAATATTCATAGAAATGTTTGTGAAAGTTGGTTCGTCCAGGAATGAAAAATGATCAGAAATTTAACATCAGCATCTTTTAAACATGACATTTCATTAAACAAACTTCAGACAAGATGTAAACTTCATTGCAGTGTTTTTGTTTTAAATATTTTTGCCATTGAACACAAAAAAACAAACTTTATACACATTGTGATAAATGCTAGAATGCTTGTTTTGCTGCATAGTAAGAAATCAATATATACATAGAAAACATATTTAGTCATTGGTTAATTAGTGGAAAATCCCCATAAATCATATTTATACCAACATTTACATCAATTCCATTAAAACCACAGTGGAACAAACAGTTTGACAATTAATACTCCAAAATAAATTAAATGTCTCAAATGGAGATGATTAGTGTGTCTGAATATTCAGATATGATCATCAAATATTTATAGAATTAATAGTTTATATAAAAATAATACTTTTAAATAAAAATAACATATTGATATTAAAAATGCATAAAACATAAACATCAAAGCTAATAATTAAAACTGGAATTAACTTCAGTAATTAAATAATTACTCAATTAAAATACATTTTAATTAAATGTATTTCATTTAAATAATTCTAGAAAATTTGAGTTTTTTGGCTCGAATACCAAAAGGGAACAATTTTCACAAAAAACATTTGAGTTTAAAGAGTCAAAAATTTTATAGAAAAAATCTGAAATTATGAGATCTCAGAAATTTTCTATGAAAGTTTTGTAAAATTTCCAGCATGTGAAAATTTAATGAGGTATAAAATACCTTTTAAATAATTAAAGCATATTTTAATTATTTCAATACCATCATAACGTAACCAAGTTATTTTACAGTTAATTGTTAAATAATTTAGCTATCACAAAGTTTTATAGATCCTGACATTTGATTGGTTAACATGCACAGACCTTTAGCTGTGGACCAATCACGTCGTCCGTAGCAGAGCTGAACCTCCCACTGATTTTCATCTGATCAAATAACTTATTGATAATCAAGACTCTATAAAGATGATTAAATACAGAATATTTATGGATAATTTCAACCAGAAATGGGCCATGCAAATGTAAAATTTACACAAAAAATGTTTTAAAGTATAAAACTTATGAAATAATGACATTCAATCATATCTTCAAATATATTGATACATTCTGACGCTCCGGTGGAACGAACAATTGGAAGATTAGTTCAAACAGCCATTCTGTCAAATTGATGCTTAAAAATAATATTAATTAGTTTATTATCATTAAATTATCAATTCTTGTAAAAATTAAATTTTATTTTCTAAACAGCGATTTAATTTCCCTGCATCTAATTTAAATTTGAATAATTTTCACATGTATTTATGATTCAGCTTTTATGCAAATGATCAATATTTAACTATTTGTAACTAACTAGTAATAATTAGGAATGTAACATTAATGTTTACACCAAATGCTGCAGACGACGTATTAACTCTCCTGATTGTTTTTAATCAACAGTTTGCAAAAGTTTTAGGCAAATATATGAATAATATTAAATCACTGATTGTCTATCAATGCAGTTAAATTTGACATCATGGAGTTTATAAGCATAACAGACAATAAATAAATGTTACCAAGTCTTATTATTTTTTGTTATAAAGGAAAACTTCATTTTTAGCATTCTTGAAATTAATACACAAAAATAAAAATAATAATATGAGAATGAAGTTGCTGTATCACCTGAATAAAGTTGGAAGTTTATGACTTTATTCCTGTAATTTTATGCATTTGTTTTTCTGGCCGACATATAAAATAAATTTGCTTTATTTAAAATTTGATCCTTCAAACTGAAACGTTTGAAACGAATTGTGGGGGATTCAGCGCCTCCCAGCAGCTGCTGGTTTTTGTACTTCCTGTCTTCTGGGAAGTTTTCTCTGAGGTCACCTGAGGTCACCTGGTCATGTGTTGCCATGGAAGCAGTGATGACAACGACCTGCTGTTTTCCATCAGCCTCACTTGAGAGGCAGAGATGCGTTTGGATTTTGGGCCCAGATTGTTTTGGTTGTTTGTTGATTGTGTAAATGTTTTTCTAGGAACATGGTCTCGTTTCTCTCTAAATGTAAATGTTGTCTCAGTCCTGGTGGCTCAGATCAGAGTTTCTCCCTCCGCTGGTCTGAATGCAGGTTCATCTGTGAACTGGAATGAAATGTTGGAAGAACTGCATAAAGAAAAACATTCAGAGCTCTACAATTTCTGGATTCTGTCTGATTTCTCTTCGCAAACCAACAGGAATGTTATTAGTTCAAAAAAACGTCTGATTTTAAATCAAAACTTATCTTTGCATATTTATTGCCCACTGTTACTCCTCATGACTTAATGATTCATTTCTGATGGCTTTTAATAATAGAGGGAGAAAAAAAAACTAATTTGAGCTCATTTTTGTTTAATTTTTGGTTGAAAAAAACATTTTAAACAGAGTTAGTACCCAGGCGCAGCATTAAACTGGACTTCACAGTAAAAATGCGAGAGCAGCAAGGTCCGATTTACATCAAGTACGTCAGGCTGTGCTTGTTTCATCGTTTAATCCGTCCTGAACTTATCGTCAGAGCCGAGTCTGTGCGTCTCTCAGCTGGTCCCTGGACGTCTTGCCGGTCCCGTTGGTCTGGGCTTCCTGCTGGGACTGGAGCCGGTCCGGCAGCAGAACCTCCACCGTGTAGCTGACCCGTTTGGCCTGGAAGATGCTGTACGTGTTGTCAAACCTCAGCACATCTGTTCAACAGGAAATGGAGCCTTTTAAAGGGGAGCTTCTTGAGTTGTGGGGATTGTGGGTAAACAGTCGGGCGACTCACAGACTCCTGGCAGCTCACAGGTCAGCGACCCGTCCTCAGGAACCAGGTGAGCGTTGTACCGCTGGCTGGGAATCACTTCCTGCATTTCAGACGCTTTCTTCCACTCACCCTTCCTCGTTTTTAGAAACACCCCAAAGCCGATGTCTGCGCCTTCGCAGGAGAACTGCCACCTTAAAGAGTCGCAGATAAAACCACATGAATACAAACTGTGTAATGAGATCATCTTTAACTGAATGTATTCCCAAACTAAAGAATGTGTTAGTATTAGAGATGAACTAAAAAAATCTATCTAAAATGTCTGATTTAAAGACGACGTTATGAGCTAAATTCAGATTTTTTGGTCTCAGCTGCTTCTAAAAACAACCAGTTTAAAAAACAAACATCTGGTTTATTCTGACAATAAGTTGACATTTTTATTGAATCTGGAAAATGGAAATGCAACGTCACAAATCAACAGGCGCTAACCTTGACCTAGCAACCCCAGCCAAGCCCAGCACATTTGGTCAGCTGGTTTTTAAGACAATGCTTCACAGATGGCCTTGTGGTGGGTTCTGTTTGCACACTGACCGGAGGACGCAGCCCGGGAACAGGATCTCAAAGTCCAGCTGTTGAGAAGAACCTCGACTGACGGTCAGGACGTGTTCGTAATCCACGTTGACATGATCCCGCACGTAGTAGGAGGGAGGAACCGGTCCAACGTGGTTTATCTGCACAAGATCCACACAAGGTTAAAATACATAGAGCGATGAAAACTTGGGACGTAGAAGGTTAGAAGAAATTGAGGCTTGACTTACGATGCCGTTTTGTCTGACTGCTTGTAACCGTGTTATTATTTAGACATTCAACAGCACAACACACAGAAACGTTCTTTTTTCCATTTATTCACACAAAACTCACCAAATAAAACCAGAAGAGAGAAGATAATACATGACAGGACAGAACTCTGCCTGCTGCAATGTCATTACTGGAAAGTGAGTAAAAACAAAGTAATCTGGACTAGAGGTGGGCAATAATCATTTTTATTTTATGATCATTTTGGTTTTAATGTTGTCACCATAAATTTGACTGGAAGATAAATTGTCCCAGAAGTTAATGCTATAAACAATAATACAGTTCCTTTGAGATAATTTGATAATTATAATAATAATGCAAGAACACATCCTTTAACTTGAAATTCTAATAAACTTAAACACTGGAAGTACTTTAAAATATCAAAAAAAACAACAAAAAAACAACAAATAAAATCAAAGTTTCTGTAAACAAAAGTGTCCTGCAAAATAAAGGCTAATTGAGACCAATGACTGAAAACTTTTTATCATCCAAGAGATGATAAAAGAGAAAAATGATAAATTATACAAATGAAAATTATTGATCTAGTTTTAATTTATTGTATTATTGATTTATTGCTTATTGCGACAGGATTATTGTTGTCACAATAAATTTCCAATCATATTTTTGGGGGATTTATTTTTTCTCCACTGTTTTCAATAAAAGCATCAATAAATATCAATAAACTGTAAAGTATGATTGATTGAAGTTACTATGTGAAGTTAAATTATTTAAATTACATTTATTTATGTGACTTTTGTCCTAAAGAAGCAGATAAAAGTTTTAAGAACAATATTTGTGTCTGTGGGGCTTTAACTGTGTCATGCAGTCACAAAAAAATAAACAAATAGTTTTTAATCAGAATTGTGAGAAAACCTGAAGTCTGTTTTGCTCACCCCTAATCTGGACACACTTACAAAGAGAAAACAATAAAAACAGACAAACGCAAAGCAGACTGAAGGCTGTTTAAGGTTAAACACTCATTACATAAACTCTGCACAATTAAAACCAATTGAGAAGAAAAAATAATAAATAAAAAACCTTACAAAAATCCATAAGGCTCAAAGTTTTTCAAGTTAAAAAAAGAAATAGTTACAAATTGCAAACATCAGAAATCACTGTGACCTTGGGCTCAAAAATAATGACAGGAGGAAGAAGTTAATGGTCGGATTCATTTTCTAAGAAAAACAAAAAGATTTATTCTTAGGCTAAATATGTTTGTTTTTCTTCATCATCTTTAAAGTGGGAGAAACTTTCCAATAAAAAAAATAGTTTGTTGTTTGAAATAATATTTTTCTGCTTCTTAAATTAATAAAAACAAAACTCTAAAAAAAGATATCCTGCCAATTTTTAAAACCAATGAGGTGTTTTCATTATCATTAAATATTTTAAGGGTCAATTATTCAACCAAACACACAAAAATATCTGTTTCACATCAGTCTGCAGTGCACTTAATTATAATAATATTAGCACTTTGATTTCTGCAGCTTACAATTATTTATGCTAACCTAAATGAAACAACTAAAACATATTTAGTACAGTTGCTTAATGATGCTTTCTGAAATGATAATATTTAACAGACCTAAAGTTAAATTTAACCCTGGTGACAGATGATGTTTTCTGATAAACGTCCGCCTGGTGCTGTAAGCTCAGTGATTAGCTTACTAACCTAAATATCACCGAACGACGTGATGCACACGGCGAGCTAACCGACTAAACCCAAAACATTTAAATTTCAATCCTCGGGTTCTTCATCTGTCTTGGGCCCAATTTTTAATCTGAAGAAACATCCACAGACATGAATCAGTTTTACGATCAGTTCATAGAGCAGCTTCTACAGGGTTGGCTCTACGTTAGGCATGGGCCGGTCACCTGATCACGAGTCGCATTTCAGAGTGAGGATGAAAAATGATCCACCATTAATGGTTTGATAGATTGGAAGTAGTTCCAGTCAGTCAACTGATGGGATCTGCTAAAACTTTCTTTCGGTGGTGCAGTTTGACCGCCATCCAGCAGAGGGCATCACGGGCCATCCTTACGGGGAGCCAGTTGATGCAGAAAAAAAGGCGGCGGGGTCATGTGAGGACCAGAGGGCGGTTTGGATGATGGCGTACAAGAACAAAAAAAACAAGAATAAATTTCCACTAAAAACAGATTCTCAGAAATTTTATAGAAAAAAAATGGAAATTTCAAAATTGGAGAAGTCAAAAATTTAGGAATTAATCTAAAAACTTCAGTTTTTTAAGGGGCCGGGGGGAGGAGGGTTGCATATTTTCGATGTCAAATTCAGCAACTTTTCTTATTTTTCTATAAAATTTCTGACATCTAAAAGTTTTTCACTTTTTTTCTTGGCAAATATCCGAACTTTGGAGCTCAGAAAAAAAAGTTCTGAAATTATTGTTTAAATTTTAGAGTTTCTTTCTAACAAATCCTTTTCTTTTTTTTTAACCTAATTTGGAATGCAAATGGGACTTTATGACGTCGTTTTGAACTGTAGACACTCGACAAACCCCTTAAATTTCACTTTATATTTTTGTGTTCAGCAACTTCAGAGGTTCCTGTTTTGTTATATTTTATAAATATGTCTAAGTTTATTAATGTGAGAAAACCATGATTTTCCCATTTATTCATAATACAGCTGGCAGATAATATTGTTAAATGATACGTTTCATTCCGGCCCATGCCTTTACTGCATCAGCTACAGAGAATCTGATCCAGCAGGGAGATTTTTATGGATTTGCTTTTCCTATTCCAGCGAAGCGAAGCGGGAGAGCAGCAGCATGAACAGCTCTGCTGTAGAGCAGGAGGGAACAGAGCCGTCAAGATAAATTATCCCAGAAGTTACTGCAATGAACTATGACAGCTGTTGTGTTGAAACCATTTTCATTTAATCCAATTATAATGGGAAAATAATGAAAACACACATTTTCAAGGATCAATAAACTTTAAACTCTGGAATGCATTTTAAATATCCAAAATAAATAAACAAAAACAAAGGAAACAACAAATAAAATGAATTATGAAGCAAAATTTAAAACCGCCAGACTGAAAGGTTTTACTATCCAGTTTCTGGTACAAAAAGAGAAAAAAATAAAAGCAATAAATGATGCAAATGGAAATGATTGAGTTTGTTTTAATTTATCTAACAATTTAACTAACTTATTGCTTATTATTACAGGCTCAACCAGTAAAACTATGTTTTGTATCTACAATAACCAACAACATACTACTTTATTTGTTCACTTCCAGTACTGCCTCTTTATTTTATTATTGAAAAGGAAAAAGTTTTTTTTCCACTTGACGATTTTGGCTCATGTAACAAAAAGTTTGGACATCCCTGCTGTATTTTACACTAAAACAGCTTAAATATAATCCCAACATTGAATGATCCTGTGAGATTTACATAGATTGGGTTCCCAGGATGGCTTACGGAGATCCATTTCTTTATTTCAGGTGTTTTGTCAGGACAGGTAAATCTGGCGGTCGCAGAGCGAGCATGAACCAAACTTTGCAAGTCAAATGTAAAGATGCAATATTTCATGTGCAGCCGGCAGCATCTAGTAAAGCAAAGCTGCGATAAACTACATGAGCAAAAGGCAAAAGCATTGCAAAAGTAAACGCATATCCAGAACAATCCAAAGCAGCTATTTGATTTATTTAATCTTTTTAAATCTACAGCAGGCTGAGTGGCTGAAGTTGGAGTCAGACTGGCATCCAGTAACAACATGTTTGATGAACAATCTGTCAGGAAAACCTGAGATCATCCCACTTCCCCATGCTGGACATTTTACTTTAAACAAAGTTTAAACCTTTAAAATTAATCACACAAGTGACATCCAGAGCCAACAGTAGACTTAAACTTCAATTTGCTTTAATTCCACTTCTTTTTTCTAACTAATCATAAGAAATGATAGTCAGACAGGAAGAGAAGGTTTTCTGAAGAGAGAGCAAGTTTCCAACCTGAACAGTTATAAAGTAGTTGAGACTATTTCTTATTTCAAAGCATGAAAGTTTGAAAGAATGAAGTCAGTAACTTTAGTATCAAATAATTGCAATAATGGATGATTCAAGTTTTCTTTTCAGAAAACATTTGTAATAAATCACATTAAGATTATAAAAAGAGTAACTAATAAGTTATTAGTTATATAATCAATATAACTAATAACCCTACCGTTAGGGAAAGATTGGCTAGATTATTGATTTTACTTATCTGATTATTTCTGCTACTGATTTAAGCTGTACTGACCCTTGCAAAAATGCTTTACTATTAAAATATTTAGCATAAAGAAAACATGAACGATGTTGTGGACATTCAGTTAATGAGTCACCTCAAAGTTCTTGGTTGTAAAATAGGTATGATGTTTGATTCTGCAGAGGAAAAGTAGAAAATGTTGTATAGTTTTCTTTTAGCCCAAAGCTATACGTAGAACAACATGCTTGGGAGCCACCAGAGTCACTAAAACCAGCTGGTAAGTTGTAATAAAGAGAAGGAGCAACTGTTAACAGGTGTGTCCTGAGAAACTGCAGGCTGATTCGTCTGGCTAATTCACAAGGGGAAGAAGGATGCAGGTCATCAGAAACCAGGCGAGTCTTTCTCAGTTCTGGAGACGGTAAATCCCAGCAGATTTAGGAAACTCGATTCATTCAGTACACAGAGAGCTGGTAGCGCATTTCCCCTCTCAGAAGAGGAAGTGGAGAAAAGAGAGTGAAAGCGGGGGGTGTTGCGCAACAACAAACCGTTTCTCTTGGTTTGTATGAACAGACTGCATCTCATCGTTTCCTGCTACTGATTTAATATTAGTAGCATCATCGTTGAGTTAATGTTTGAAAAGGAAGCCTGTTGTAAACACTTAAAATTTGCATCCGGTTCTCTCTGGACTCATAAATGTCTCGGATTACATCATTAAAGTCTGTTCTGCACAGATGAGTCAGCATCCCAGATGTTTTTCCAAATAAAGACCAGAAAACAACCCAGAGTCCTAAAGAGCTCTACAAGCTTTATTTCTCACCTAAATTAAACATCTTAGACCAAAATGTGTCCAGATTACATCTTTTCAATGACATTTGCAGCTACTTACAAACATATTGGAGACACTTTGTGACATTTTGTCACTTAACAGCCATATTTAATGTGTTTGTGGGGATTTGATGTAAAATCAGTATATAATGGTGGAGGGAAAGAAACATTGTTTACAAGTAAACAATGTGCTTATGTTAAGTAAAACCCAGAACAGCTTTAAAAGTCACCTCACTGGTAAACAGAGTCCACCTGTATGTGATGTAATTTCAATATAAATCATCTGTTCTGTAAAAGCCTCAAAGGTTAAAGAGCAAACAAACAGAACCAACAGAGGTCAGGGGGAAACCTTCAGCAGGTTACTGGTTCAGCATTCACACCAGACGAGGTTAGTCCGCTTTTTAAAGCCAGCTGACCAAACATACTGGATCTCTGCATGGGTTGCTCAGTGATGGGTGAAACTCGCCTGCTAGGTAACGAGGCAGCGCTTGCTGATTTATGGCATTCAAAAACCTTTTGTGACAGTTTTTTTTTTTTTACCAGACACTAAAAAGTATTAGCTTATTGCCAAAAAAAACTGCTTGGTGGGTTATTTTTAATGCTTTAGCCGTTTCTGGAAGCACAAAAACATCTAAACTGTTTGCCTAAGATGTTCCCTTTAAACCAGCGTGGCGACCTCAGAGGCCGACCCAGAGTCAGCCTGGTGAGCAGTAATTTGAAATACTTTCCCCTCACTTTGCAATGATGCTCCACTTTGTGTTGCTCCATAAAACCTGTTGAACTTTGTGTTGCAATGTGTCAAACATGTGGAATCGGCAACCAGCTGTTTTCTTTTTCAACCAGTTCTGATCAAAACACGACTGAAAAGAGAGCTCTGCTTCTCCGCCGTTCAAACTGTTACCAGTTTCTGTTTGTTTCTGGAAAATCTCAGCATTAGCATGGCCTGGTTAGTTGCTACTTTTGTCTTTTATTGCTTGTTGAACTACGACAGAGCAGAGTACCTCAGTCAGCTGAGGTCAAGATAACCTTACTGAAGTTGATGAAAGCCGCTTTACTGCAGGTGTGATTAAGAACTGATTTTTAATCAAGATCAGAAAACCCGTAAGGTGGAATCAAAGGTCTGAAAGTCTAAAATAGCTGAATCTGCTGAGGAAAGGCCAACAATTAAAATAAATGTACCTAAAACTGATCAAAAGGTTTTAGGTTTTTAGTTAGAAACTAAAAAGGCAAACGCCGTTTCCAGAATCAAAGAGCCAGAGATCTATTTTTGTTGCTCTAGATACGTATCTTTCCCAACCCATCAGCCACTTCCTGCATGAAATAATCAGCAGCAGCAGCGGCAGCAGGTTTGCTGACTCACCCTGGTCCGACAGCGAGGATCTCCATCAGGATCCGTCGCCTTGCCTCCGTAAATGGCCGGCAGCTCTTCTGCGTCGATGTGCTTCAGTAAAACCTCCTGCCAGTTTCCTGGAAAAACAGGACAGAATGTGTTTACAGCACATTATAAATAAGCTGCTCTTAACACAAACAACCATGTTTAGACTGAAAAGATGGAAAAATATGAGAAGTGAGAACAATATGCTGGTTTTACTCAACCATGTCTAAGTGATGCCATGTGGTTTGACATTATGTGGTTTTGATTTATGGTCTTTGCTGTGCAACAGCTCAGTGTTGCGCAGTCTGGCAGTTTGAGGCTCATTCATTTCACTCCAGTTCATTAGAAACAGCTTCAGACTATATATTTTCCAAAATAAGAAGGAGCTGAAATTTAAAAGTATTAAATTGGTCTTTAATAGGAATGAAAGATATCGATAAATGAAGTTGATTTATCTGGTCAAAAGTCTAATGGTTAACTTATTTGCAGTGCAGATGGGCTTTCAACAACATAAAACAATTTAAAAGGCAATAAAACAACATAGCATCACTGCACAAATCCTAAAAGTTAATTTCAACCAGCTCTGGAGTGACGTGTCCACGTCTCACCCCCCAGGATGTGGATCTTTTGCCGCGTGATTTCACTCAGAAAGTGCTTGATGAGGTTATAGGCCACAGGAAAGAGTTTAGGAGCTGAAGGAGAGAAAAATATAGAAAATAATGTCAAATAATAAGTGTGTTGCAAGCATACATGGAGCACAAGTTTGACTTTACTTTGGACTTTCTCAATTAAACAAATGGTTAAAAATATACATATAAAATTAAATATATTCACATATTTAAAATAAAATAAAAAACTTTCAATAATTGGGTTTATGTGTTGTTTTACAACCATGAACTATGAACAGTTAAACACCTTCTATCATGTGTACAGTTAAATACATTGCTATTTATAAACTGGTTATGTGAAGTTAGTTCCATGATTTATAATTTTATTTTATTTTTTTAAAATAAGTTTACCTTTAATTACAAACAGCCTCTTCAGGCCTTCTGGGTAGTTATCTTCAAACATCTGGAGGATCTGCAGGAGAAACGCAGCAGAAAATCAGCAAATTGTTCATTTTAAGAGAGGATTTTGCAGTTAGTGTCGCTTTGCACCTCTCCATATGTTTCTATCGCAGGTTTCCATAAGTGCTTCAGCCCCAGACCTTCAACATCGTAGATCATCGTGATCGACTCGATATGCCTGCCCAGCTAAAACACAACACAGAACAATATTAAAACTAAACGTACACGATGGAGAAACAGGGATAAAACAGGGTGCGATAAAAGTTAAGCTACTTATTACAAATCCAAAAAACTATTCTGACAAAAATCCTCATTTGTAATGCAGATCTTTAGGAAGTGTGGTTCGTGTCATTAAACTACACAAAATAACCATATTTAAGCATAATTTTAAATTTATTGATACTCTAACTGAACAAATGATGGAGAAAATAGTAAAAATTAACAATCAAGACTAATTGCGATTTTGGAATAAATCAAAATGTTTGCCAAAGAACTAATAAATTATCAGATTAATTTAAGAATTTTCTATAATTTCAGAATTTAACAAGTCAAAAATCTGCTTCAAAAATCTCAACATTTTGGGTTTGCTCAGATATTTTCTAGAAAAAGGAAATTTCAGAGTTTCAAATGTAGAAAATGTTCATATTTAAAAGAAAATGTTTTTTTCTCAAATTTTTTATTTTCAGAGCTCTGAAATCTCCTTGTTTTTTATTGATTTTTTTTAATAAATCTCAAAATTTCAGATTTTTTTCTGGCAAACTTTCAACTTTTCAATCTCAGTAATGTCTCAGTTTTTTATTATTTCTTAGCTTAATCTGAAAACGTCTGAGTTTATCTGGCAAATGTTTGACTTTTTGACCTATAAAATTTCCATATTCCTTAAAAAATTTTCAGATTAATTTCAAAATTTCTGAGTCTTTTGGTGGAAATTTTCTCCTCTTTCCATCTTTGTGGCCTAATATATTGTGGTGAGTTCCCATGCTTTAGTCTATCAGCGTCAGGACAGGGTGTCCGCCTTCGCGTTAGCATCCTTTGCTCTTACTCTCTCTGACTGCAGGTCGCATTCCTTCTGCAGCATCTCGCAGTCTCTGATCTTGGACTTGATGAAGTCCTGCTTGGAGGCAGACAGGAAGAGTCCTTTGGGGTCCACGGGTCCAATCACGTCGTACCAGACGGGGCTGCCTTCGCGGTCGTAGCCACACATTCCTCCTGAGAGATACTTCTCTATCACCTACAGGGGGCGGCCATTTTGAATCACACGGCTGCTTTTTAAGACTGAAAGCTGCTTTTCCATCACAAATACATGCAAATCTTTGTCTATATTTTGCTAATGTAAAAACGACAATCAAATAATAAAAAAAAACAAATATGAAAAACTTAAATCACACATATCTATTTCGATATGCCGCAAAAACATGGCGGCATATTCAAGCCATTATAGATAGAAAAAAGGAGAACATCTCTACTAAAACATTTGAAGAGTTTAAAAAGTCAAAAATTTTATAGCAAAAAAAAAGTTCTACAAAAAATTTTCTGGAATTTATTTCCCCAGGAAAATGTGAAACGTTTGGTTTCCAAAGTCAAAACTTTTCATGTCTTTAGTCTCGAAATTCCAGATTTGTTTTGTTCGTTTTTAAAACTCAGAAATTTCCTTATTTTGTTTTTTTTTAATCTCTGAGATTGATATCAATACTTTGGAGAATTTTCTAACAAATTTCCAACTGGTTAAAGTCAGAAATTTCCAAGTTTTTCTCTTGAAAATTCCTGACATTAATTTCAAAATTCTTGAGCAAATCGAAACAATTTTCTTTACTTGAAAGTTTTTTCTTGAAAATTTATGACAATTTCAATATTTTAGTTTTTTAAATTTTTTTAACTTTTCAAACAAAGGAATTTCCATTTTCTGAGATTAATCTCAAACTTTCTAAGGTTTTTGCTCCACATGTTATTTTTCATCTTCAATAATTTCAATTAATATTAAAACTTTTTTATTAACTTTGTTTAAATCAAGCTTTGTCATAATTTCCATTTGGACAGTTTTATCTGGAAACGCAGCAGCCAGGGTTTGTTTTTGTGTTTTACCTCTGGTGGTTGCCAGTCGGTGGTTATTGTGTCCACTTTCATGTGTTTCCTGAACTCCAGGTGCTGAAACAGAAGATTTGTTTGTGTTTAGCTTAAACATTAGCATTAGCATGGCGGATTTTCACATGCCCTGCAGATTAGAGGAGGCAGATTAGCTGTAAATGATGCAACCGGTAATCTTAACCTGCTACAGGTCTTTATTTAATCTCTTGTCTGTGTCTTATCTGCCTCTGGGTGCAGCAATGACTCAGTTTGTGAACCTTCACCCCCCCTCTGCCCGCTATAATCTGGAGCCTCGCCTGCAGCTTGCTCCACAGATTAATTAATAAAAACGATGTGTTTGTTTTTAGCTCCTTTGTGTAATTTTCTGTAGATTATTTAATAATACATAATAATGCGTCACCTTTCGCAGCATGGCCTCGGACTTCTGCACATTGAAGTTTCTTGCTGAAACAGAAAAGGCAGAGGTTTAATCTGGTGAAAAATGTCTTAATCTGAGATTACACACACATCCGGTGGTTTTAATTTTTCTGTAGCTCTAAAAATAATTATGGAAAAACAGAAAAATAGTCAAGACAGTTTTGAGACACTGAACAATCAAATGTAACAATCCCAGACGTTTTCACGATGTAAATTATGAGATTATAGATTAACAGAAAGGAAAGATTTTTCCTAATGTCTGGAGTTTAGATGTTTCTGTAATTCAGAGAAGGTGGCAATGAATTAAAAATATTCACTTTTATAACCAGTTATTAAACCACCTTTGGAGAGCAGAGTGGACAGTTCAATGTCTAAGACTCTGTAAGGTGATTAACCGTCTGGCAGCGGGATGAGCCTGGATTATGCTGCATTCACTGACCCACCGTTAAAACCAGGAGGCGTCGCTAACGCCTCTTTTTTAGCTTTCAAGGCGCCGTATCACACTCCCTTTAAGTGTGTCGCCCAGAGTAGCGGTGTCCAAACATTTTGTTATTTTGGACAAAATCATCAAGTCAACAGTAATTATTGGCCCAAAAAAAATAAACAAAATTGTTTTGTTTTTTTCAGTTCCCAACAAGGAACCAACAATAATTTTTATGAAGCTACAATGGTCTCAACACTTGCAATAGTATTTAAAATGTAATAAATGTGAGAAGTGCTGCAGTAGATCATTTGGATCCTTTAATAATCTCTCTAGGCTGGAAAAGCAGGTGAGCTCCGTCATAAAGTTCAGTTTTTTACCCACTGATTCAAAGCTCAGGTCAAAATCAATCTGGAGAGAGTAAACCTGGCTTTTATTATCTTTATGGCCGGCATAGATGCGATTTCCTTACACTTTGGCCTCGATCAGATAAATCTTCCTCATTAGCCGCTGCTCTCATTGGTAAGTGAGAATGTGACCATATATCAGCTGATTCTCTGGAGCCAGTTTACACGTTTGTTTGTTTGTTTGTTTGTTTGTTTGTTTGTTTGTTTGTTTGTCGGCTATTCCTGCTGCATTTATTTAGATATTTAGGCAGAAATCATTTTCTTTATCCCTTTGTGTCAGAGCAGCAATAAAAAGTTGTGACTTTTAATTAGCATATTTAGCCTCGTAATTCATTATCAATACCAATAGATGGTCAATAGATCTGATAGAATGCTTTGATTAACAATTGATGACCTTATGTGGTAGAAGTACAAATCTTTCCCCATGACTCTGTCAAACATATAGTAGCTCTATCAATAAATAAATAAATAAAATAATTCAATTGGTCTTAATTTTTCAATATTCTGAGAAACTAAATTCAGATGGGGGCTCGTCTGGTGCTTCTTTTATTCCCAAACTGCATTAGGAATCATGTAAAATTGTATTGTTTAACCGTTTGACTGTACTGTGTTGTTAAAATTCTAATTATTGCATCATTCCACTGCAAAAAACACAAAACGTCAAATGTTATTACACTTGGAAGAAGTCAAGTATCTTTTGAGCAAGAAATAAAAGCTTTTTTAAGTAAGTGATACCTTCATATTGATTAAAAAGTTCTAGTTGGCAGGTTAATTTATAACATGGGAAACATGTCTTGTTACAGGTTAAATATTTTGCTACTTTTTTATCAATATTAAGGAATTATTTATTTAAAATAAGCTCCTAATTCTTTCTGAAAAACTACTTGTAATTCAATACATTTGAAATAAGACAAGATATTTGGACTAAAACTAGACAAAAATATTTGGTGAGATTTTGTGTTTTTACAGTGCAATCAGGCTTTTTGTGTTAAATCTTATTTTTATGCAACATTAAATGGTAAATTTAGTTTTACATAAGTGCCAGGGTGACATAACTTTAACTATCTAGCACATTTATCGCAGTAACAGAGCTTTATTGTTCAAGTTCGCCTTCTTGTTTCCCAGAGGCCAAAGCTTGCATTTCATAACTGAACGAAGCTTAATTAGGAGAACAAAGAGCCTTCAATGCTGCTCTCAGTTCTTGGTAAGAAACTATTTCTCAATATCTTCCAACCCCTGAGCAGAGCAGCAGACTCCTGCAGCCACCGTAGTCCAGTCCTAATGAGATTAGCTCTGGATTAGATCAATACTCAGATTGTTGGACCTCTGCTTTAGCCTCCCATATCCTCCACTCTAAAACACGGTTTTATTTATTCATTTCAAACTGTTTTTTTAAAAAAACAAGAAATCAAGCAATCAGTAGAACAAGAGAAAACATGTGCAAAATAATTAGCTTTACCACGACTTTTAGGTTTGAAAAGGAGGATGTTGACATTTATTATGTCTTAACTTAATGAAATGTATTATTTACTGAGTCAGTAAATATCAGAAATTTGTAATTAAAAGCATGTTTTATGGTATTCATGCTCCTGTTCGATTTACTGGGTTAAGAACAAAAAATAAATTATAATACATAAACAAAATGATTACAAACTGAATGTCAAGACAAGAAAATCTACGGACTAATAATACTAATAATATTAATAATTACAATTTCAAATAAACTCCTTGCCAATGTAAACCTTATACATTTTTCATAATGTGTAATATAACAAATAAAATTAAAAAAAACAACAGAAAAAAATCTTTTAGCTCGGAGATTTTATCTCCGAGCTCAAACAGATGTGGAGAATACATAAAATAAATTCATTTAATCTTCTCTTGCAACTTAAAAGAAATGACAGGAACCAAATTTTCTGGATTTATATCTATGAATAAAACATAATTTACTCATCAACCTGGAGCTTCTCAGCTTTGATCACAAACCTGAGAAGACATAACGGCGCGACGGACATTTTCCCTGCACATCTCAGTATGTTTTTGTGGATACGAGTCGATGCAAAATGACGTCAAACAGCAGATAATCCATCAGTGTTTATAAGTTCAGCTGAAATCAAGAGTTTCTCTGTCAACTTCTGCAAACTCTGCTCACTTGAGTTGCATCTCAGTTTTATGTAATTCAGCTTCTGCTTTCTGCTTAAAGAGCAACACAAATTAATGGAAACCCAGAAAAGAAGCAAAAACTGTTGGCTGATGCAGATGGAGACTTTTTTTAAATTAAGTACAATAATTAATTCAATTTCAACATGGGAAAATGTCTTGTTATCAGTGAAATAATCTGCCAGTGGAACTAGAACGTTTTCATCAATATTAAGGAATTAATTACTGAAAACAAACTGTTATTTCTTTTGGAAAAGTTACTTGTAAGTAAGTTTTGTCTTATTTCCAGTGAACCAGACAAAAGATACTTTGTGAGATTTTATGTTTTTGCAGCGCTCCCAGTCGTAGAGGTTCCTGCAGAGCCCTGGTTGATTTCAAAATAAAAAGAAATGAGAGCAGAAGAAGTGATTCGCTCACCTCGGAGCCAGCGCAACAGGAAGTGGTCATCCTGTGCAGGAAGTTGAGGAAGAATGTCTTGTATCTTCGATCGAAACTAAAAACAGGTAAACAGACAAATGTGGATTAATTATTATCATTTGGTAAATAATGACACTTTTAATGCAGAGTTACATCACCAGGCTATGACATCAAATCAGGATTTTGTGTGTTTAATTTGCTTTTACTATAAAATTGTTTTTGCATTTTTCACAACTCAGCAGATACAATGTGAGGCTTCCATTTCAAAAGGTTTTGATGCCCCAGATTGAAATGACTTTGTGTATCTGGGAGCGCCACTGCGTTTATTCCGAGCCAGTCTGGAGCTGGAGGGAGCACTGGTTGGACTGGTGAGGCTTTCCCACCCTAATCTATTGTTTCAGGCACACACCAGGCGGGACTTATCGGGCGCCTCGCCTAAACTGGAACAAAAGTTCGATGCATGTCGTTGCACGCTGCAGCTTTACGATGCGTCTGAAGACCTTGAGTTACTTTGGGAAGTTTCCAGAAAATCTCCAGGCTGCCGCTGAAGATCTGTAAACTTTCCTCCATGTTTGCTAAAACTGAACATGAAAGTAACATATCCTGTTACTTTTGTAACAATGCAATCATGTTAAGATGTCTGTTTGGAGGATTCCCTTGCAGGCGTGGCTCTCTCCTATGGGTGTACTGTCTCTTTAAGACAAACTGTTCGACTCCCTGAGGAGCTGAAACATGCTGGAGATTTTATTTATCTCTCAATTGGTTAAGAGTTAGGAATTTCAAATGGTTTATATGAGACTTAAAAGTCTATTTTAGTTGTTACCTCATCAGTATTTATGCTCCTTGAAGTTTCCCCACATTTTCTCATTTTACAATCACAAACCTCCACGAGTTTTATGGGGTTGAACCGTAATTCATGGAAGAGTTGCAAAAAAATCTCAAAGTAAGCAAAATAATTTTTGTTGATCAACACGCCCTATATACGATGCTGTTTTAGAGCCAAAATTAAGACTTTTGAAAACAGTGACGACTTCATCCTCATTACAGGAAGCTACATCTGTTCTTGAGCTAGCTACCAATTAATGAGCGGCCATGTTGGGTCGCTAGCAGGCGACTACTCACTTGCCTGCTTGCAAGTGAGTAGTCACTACTTTGGTAGTCACTTCCAAAGTCCGTTATCTTTGGAGAGGTTGACATCCCCATTGGATTGCCCTACTTCCTCTACTGTCCATTAACGCAGATAGTGCTGGAGAAGCTAACGATTAGCAAACCTAGTCATTGGCGGGGTCACCCACTGGACTCATTCAGGTGTCCATGAGCACAGATAAGCTAGTGCTGGAGAAGGTAACAACTAGCTTGTCTAGTCTGGTCACTAATTGGCTTGACTTCTCCCTTTGCTATCCATTTGTTTGGTATAGGTTAGCACTAGCCTTGGAGATTCTAGCGTTAGCCTTGGATAGAGTAGGCTAACAGCTAGGATGGGTAGGTTAGTCACTCACTGGATTGTCTACTTCGTCAGCTAACAACTAGCCCGCCACAGATGGTCACTAACTGTATTAACTACTTCCTTTCCTGTCCATTAGCCTTGCATAGTTTAGTATTCACCTTGGATAGCCTGGTATTAGCTTTGGATAGGATATTGTGCCTAGAGTAGTCATCCACTGGACCTACTTCAAACCTACTTCCTCTACTACAGGACTAGTCTATCTACGTTAGTGCAGATAGACTAGTCCTGGAGAAGCTAACAATTAGCATTCCTAGTCGTTAGTGGGGTAACCCTCTGGACTGCCTACTTATTTGGGTGCCCATTAGCGCAGATAGGCTAGTGTTGGACAATTGGATTGACTACTACTATTTGCAGGTGGCCAGTTTAAGCATGCTAGTTACCAACCAATCCAATGCTAATGCTAGCCTATCCATGCTAATGGACAGTAGAGGAAGTAGGCTATCCAGAGGGGGACCAGCCTAGACATGCTAGTTACTAGCCTCTCCAAAACTAACACAAATGAGTAAGGCACGATTGAGAATGGATATAGCCTCTGGCGACAAGAAATAGCAACTACTATGTGCGCAATAGTCTTTTGGCACTAAAATTGTCCCATAGAAGAACGGCAATGGCATAGATTCTGGATGAATGGACTTAAATACAGAGCGGATGCGACTTACAGCTGTAACTGAAAACCTCCACCTCTACTCTGACCTACCTTCTGTTGGTCCATTGGTCAATTTAAAAGACTGAAATTTGTGGTTATAAATGAGAAAACAGAGACGTTTCCAGAAATTGCTCCTACAAAAGAGCCACCGATTGATAAGCTGATGTAAATATGCCCATATATGTATTTTACAGTAGCTTCCTATTTACTCTCTTACAAAAGTAGTAAATTGAATGTTTTCATGTCATGGTGTTACGAAGCCTTTTTAGTGAGGAAGGGCATCCAAACCTGATATAATGGATCAAAATTATGGGAAAAACTGCATGTGAACAATTATTACGCTTTTCCACATTTCTTGATTGACATTAACGAAAATAAGCAGGATTTAAAAAAACAGAGTAAAACTAGATGAAAACATTATGAGGAGCTTTTTTGATTATTAAAAATAAAACTTACTTGTTCCAGCGCCTCAGCCTGCTTGGCACTGAGGTCTTCAACTCTTCCGCTCATCTCAGACCTGAAGCTGGCGGACAGCAGGGCTTATTCACATCCACAGATAGGAGCCGTTAACTGCGGGCCGGTTTCCGTGTCTGACGCCGCCCCGTGATGTCCGAGTGCGGCCGCAGTCTCCTGTTACCCTCCGCTGACGACGGCTGGAGGTGGAAAACGAAACGGAGGAGGGAACAACGTAAACACGACTCTCACAGACGCAACGCCAGCAGGTGATCGCTTTAAGAGGCTGACTCGGCCAAAGATCTGCGAGGCAACGAGAGAAGTCACTCCGCCGCAGGAAGAAGGCGCAAATGGAGGCTCCGCCTCCAAGTATGGAGGCCACCGAGGACCAAAACTTGGTAATAAACCTTTATTTAATTAAACACGGGAAATTAATGCAAAAATATAATAAATAAATAAATTAGATGAAGAAATTAGTTAATTCTTCAGATTTTTCATTAGACCGCAATATCAAAAATACAAAAAAATACACATAAAGAATTTAATTTAGTCTTTGAGTAGAAAAATTAACATTTTATTGTCTAACATACAATAACACAACATTCCTTTAGTGACACATTCTGTATATTTTATAAATATATTTGTAAAAATTTAAGCCTTTTTTGTACAGTATTAACAATACATGAAAAGATGCAAAAAATGTCAACTGGATAGGAAAGTAGATATTTATAGCTTAATTTGCAATAACAGCATTCATTTTGTATGTACTTGATTATTTGTAGCAAATGATAAATCTGCAGCTAAAAGTGCTACTGACATCAATATAAGAAAAGTTCTTTCTACTTCATTTAGCGTCAGCACACTTAAAGGCTGATCTGTTAATTTAAAAAATAAAATAAAATTAACCTAATAAATATCTGGATAAAAATGTGCTTCTCATGAGTTTTTTTTCTATTTTATTTAATTTTATTCGTTGTTCTGCAGTTTTCATTAAACGAACTGTAGCTTTAAAATCAAGATGGAACTATGAGAAGATTTTCCTCTTTGGAGGAAAAAAGGAAACTTTAATTTGCTTTTATCCACAGAAGAATTACTGAATTTCGTTTTGAAAAGTACAAACGTACACATTCAAAGATCAATGGTAGTTAACTGAATTATTACCAAAGGTTTTCCGGAAATCATCCGGGCGCTCTCACACAAGATAATAATCCCTCCCCGACTTCCGTTTACAACCGGAAGTGTCTTGTTTTTCCTGTTTACGTCCAGGAGCCTGCGAGCTAACAGCCTGAAATAATCGGCTGCGGGATTTCTAACAAAATGCCTGACAGTTGATGAGTTTAGTGTGTTGGTTGTTGCTTCCTGCTGGGTTTTTGGGAGCCATGGCTTCAGCTGGCCGCTGCTGTCTCTGTTTGCCCTCGCCGGTTGTTCTGCTGCTGCTGCTGCGGTGGCCCGGGCTGCTGGTGGCCGCCAAGCAGGTCGCCTTGGTGGAGGTGTTTCTGGAGCACCAGCCCGCTGTTAGCACTCTGCTCCAGGGGGAAGTGGTGGAGTCAAGCCGAGGTCGCAAGAGCCCAGAGATCCGGAACGAGCAGCAGGAGGAGCTGGAGGGGAACCTGTTGGTGGTGAGACTTCCTGATGTTTTTAAATGTTCATTTATGATGCCAAAAGACTAATTAGACATGCATTACATGTTATAATCTACACATGCATCAGAAATATTCAAGTTAAATTTGGCAAGGTGCAAAAATAAATACATTTTCCTGTGTTTAGCTTCTTGTTTTAGTTACTTTATAAAATTGTTTTGAAATAGATATAAATATGAATAAACAATTCAATAACAAAAAAATTATATATCTAAAGGTTGGATATTGAATATACAGCAACATTTCCTTTCGCAGTTTTATGATTAAAGCTGCAGTTTTTATTGGACAATGTTTTTTATATAATTGACAGGTGACAGTGCGACGTGAGACAGAAAATCTGTGAAAACAAAATCCACCTCCTCTCTGAGGAGCTGCTACTGCTGTCACAACAATATCTATTGTCTTGGAGAAGCAGTAATGTAGCAGAGAACAAGAGGAGAGGTATGGGAAGTGGCTGGTAAATGGGCATGATTGACAGCACAAAGACCCGCCTCCTGGCTCTGATTGGTTGTTTCTTGTCATCACTGGGAGAAGGCAGAGGAGCTCCATTATTTTCACAGATTATATGTCTTACATTGACCTGTCACAACAGTGACAGTTTGAGCTAGTATAAAAGAAAATTTGGTTGCTTTATAAAAGTTACATACTGCAGCTTCAATCATAAAAACCTAAAATTCAGGTTATCAGAAAATCAAAACATTGCGAAGTGGTAAATGTTCTGGATAACTCTGTTGTGGCTCTTGACTCCACCCGAGTAAACGTCTTCTAAATCTCCCCCAAACTCGTCAAACGGTGCTTCACATCTAACCCTGTTGCTTTAGCAAAACTTTTTTCTTCCACATCTTTTCCTTCCATTAAACTTTCCATTTAAAAAGCTTTGATTCAGCCCCTATAAACCTGCAGATATTATAGTTTAAATTAAACGATTGTGTGTTTTCCTGTCTCCAGGTTGGAGATGACGCGACGCAGCCGAGTGAAGGAAGAGACGGGGAACATGCCGACCGGCAGGAGCCCTGGATCGGCGTTGTGCCGGTGGAGATGGACGACAGCAAAGCCTCCACTGGGAACCAGGAGTCTTTTGCTGATGCAGTGGTTAACAAAGTGAGAATTTATCACAAGTACAGCTTAGTGAGAGGATGACTCCACCAACCTGCAGTAGGTTTCACCTGTTGTTTCTCAGAGGATGTCAGTTTTTAAGAGTTTTGTTGTTTTGGTGCACAGATGAAGCGGGCATTGGTCCTGGGAGCGTCAGCGCTGATCATCCTGGCTCTGAACCAAAACACAGCCAGCGAGGTGAAACGTCACACTGGTTCTGATGTTCTCCAGTTTTAAAGGACAGTTTTGTTCGCAGAGACTTCATAATTAATGTTATTTGTTGTTTTGTTTATTTATTTTGGATATTTAAAATGTCTTCCATTAAATGTTCTGATGAACATCAGAACATATTCTGACTTTTCAGAATATGTTCCTGCATTATTGTTACCATTATATTATTCAAAACAACAATATTATCATTTATTGCGATAACTTCTGGGACAATTTATCGTCCAGTGAACGTGTATCTGTCTCATATTTTACTGTCATGACATAGTGACAGTTTTAATAAATATGGAAAAAATATATTTAACAAATTATATGACTTGTTGATTCCTATTTTGGCTGCAAGCATTATTTTTCTTTCTGAATAGTTTGTAAATATTAAAATAAATATCAATGAAATCTGTGCTGATTTGCACTAATTTTGGTTCTGGTTCTGTTGAAATATTTGGATCGGCTCGTTTCTGTGTTGCAGATGGATTTGTCTCAGGTTCTGCTGTCCAAGCCCATCATTGTGATCCAAACATCAGAAAACGTCACCAAGCTGATTGGAGCTCTGCTGAGGTACAGAAACACTACGCAACCACAGCCACACCAACCTAATATAAAATTAATGTCTAGTCAAAGTCCTGATGAATGATATCTTCCCAAAGTATTGAATTTTTTTACATTTTGTCATGGAAACCATCAGATTGTTTATTATTTTAGTAATTTGATTAAATAGCATTTTCTGTATTTGTGTGACTGCAGGGGTCTTCGGGCCACGGCGAAAATCACATACGAGACGATCCTACAGGACAACTTGGTGAGCCTCTTCTTCGCGGCTGGCCGCGTGTTTCCGGGTTCGCAGCGCCCCCAGTGGTGAGTGAGCAGATGGCAGGCTGACCGAGCTGCTGCTGTGTTTTCCGGGCAGGGCGCCACGCTGACCCTGTGGTCCAGCTGCGGCCGGTCCAGAGGCGGCCTGTACGGAGAGTGGCAGGGGGTCATCTGCACCGGCGAGAGCAACTCTCAGGTCCAGGTGGGGAGGAAAGATAAAAACAAAACTGTTAATTTCTAAAGCTCTGTCTAATCCAAATAAATTTGACTTTCATCTCAGAAGAAGCCAGAATTCTACGCTTAACGATTAAAATTCTGAATTCTAAAATTTGAACCAGAATTCTGAAATTTAAATCAGAATTCTGGGATTAAGGTCAAAATTCTGAAAAAAAAAAAAAATCTCAAAAGAAATAGTCAGAATTCTACAATTAAAGTCAAAATTGTGAGAGGAAAATTCAGAATTTTGAAATTTAAATCACAAATCTGAGATCAAAGTCAAAACTTTAAAAAAAATTACAAATTGAACTGTTTATTTTTAATTAAGAGTCGACACGCCCCTGGTCCGATCTGTCGGGATACGCGGTTCTGGAAGCGTTGAACGTCTCAGACGCCGTTTCTTCTTCTCTGGTGGTTTCCAGAAGTACCTGCAGCAGCTGTGGGACACAGTCCTGCTGGTGGCGCTGATCCTCTGCACAGGCGTCATCGTTCAGGCCCGCTGGCAGTACCAGGACCGCCAGCTTAACGACAACCTGGAGGTACAACTGATTACTTCACAGTGGCTGCACAGCAGAAATACAATCACTTCAGTTAGAGGAAGTTTGTAACGTGCATAGATTTTATGAGAAAAGCTTTAAAAAAATAACCAGAACATCAATAGTTTAAAATCCTAAAATATGGATTTAACTGGAGATTTAAACTCCTAAATAGGTGTAATTTCTGCAGAAATGTTGACAATTTATTGAAATTTGTTTTATTCTGTAACATTTTACTTTAAAACTCAGTGCTGACCTCTGTGGGTTGAACAGTGGCTACTGCAGTCAAATTTTCTCCAAAAATGCAGAATAAAGTTGCCAGATTTGTTGCTCATCCACCTCTTGGCCACTCTGTAAAATGTATAAACATTTAGAATTTTTGAAAATTTGTTTGGGGTGGAGTTTCATAGGGCGATGCGTTTCACTTTACCTCCATCTGGTGTTTCTGTTGAACGTAGTAAATGAAAATACAGAGCAGCTCCTACAGGTTGTTATTCTTTACCTGCAGAAATTACATAAAGTACCATTTGTTCTGTGCAACATTGTTGGGGTTTTTTAGTTAGTTTTCACTGTGTTGAAGTAATATTTGTTATTATTGGTCGGTAATGTGTTAAAAATTTGCAGACATATTTTCAGACCACTGACATTATGACATATATTTGACCTGTTTTTGTATTTTTTATTGCAGCTTCTTCCGAAGCAGGACGTCCTGAAGAAAATGTTGTCGCTGAAAACCAAAACATATCGTCGGCCCAAACCCTGGTGCGACCCGTCCCAGCAGACCGAGACGGAGAACTGCGCGGTCTGTCTGGAACCGTTCAAAAACAACCAGGTGGGTTAACAATCCAGAAAAACTTTTTATTTTACCCCAAACAGAAGCTAAATGTTCATCACTCAAGTGTCAAAGAGTCACTTTGGACGATGCTGGAGGCAAGGAGAATCTCCAGTAGCAGTCAGTCTTCAAACAAAATAGAAGATGCCTCTGACTGAAGACTGTTGCTCTTTGTCATTGTTGCTCAATATTCAGGCATATTAACAATATTTCAGCAAAATTTTTGACATGCGAAAACCTAATTTGGCATAGATGGGCAGCAGGGGCAGCCACTAAATAATTCAAGATGGCCGCCATAATGGTCATTATGGAGAATCAATTTTGCACTAAAAATAATTAATTCAAAATTCAAATTCTAAAATATTTTAGTGATCCCAAAGGGAAATGAAGTATTTGATAATGTCATACCTATTTGTAGAAATAATGCGTTTATTTGATCCTGCATTTCCTTTTTCTTGTTGACATTTTTCAAAATGGCTGCCATGGTTGAGAATATAAATTTGCACAGAAATTGGCCAGTTGCCAATGGTGGGAACAGCTAACCAAAAGATTTTATTCAACTTTTCTAAATACATCAACAACGAGAAGAATGAGCAGATTAGAGTTTAGCTAACATGCACATAAAAAATGCTTCAACTGCTAAACACAAACCATTAGCAGAAGCTAACGATGCAGTGTGTAAGTAAAACTTATATGGCAACTTTCAAGATAAAAGCCGTTCACCAAAAAAAAAAAAAAAAAAACACAAATTTAAGTAAAAGCAGGTTTATAAAAATGTTGCTGGCCTTTAAAGGGAGCTAATCTGAGAGTTATTGCTGAAGTAAAAGAATTAGCGGAAGCTATTGCTAACCATTTAGACTTCAAAGGCTTAAAAACAGCAGCCATCTTGAAACTCATGGCAATGTTGGGGATATATGAAAAACAGTCTTATGGATGAATATACAAATTTCTATATTTGCATCCAGACCTGTCACAAAAATCTATAAGTTAATCAGATGATGCATCAAAACGAGTTCAATAATTTACATTTTCATCATTTATTGTTCTTCTCTTTCTGGATGTTAAAATTCTTCAGCCTGGTGTTTCAGTCTCAGCTAAACCTTTTTTTTCTGGTTTTCTTTATTTGAAAGTGAACTGACAGGAAAGTAGAAAATGAGAGAGAGGGAAGACATGTGGCAAAGACCAGCAGGCTGGGAATCGAACCAAGGACTAAAGGCTCCTCAAGTCTGTTGTGCTTTTTCTGAAGGACAATTTTATCTACAGACTTTATCATTTGTTTCTGTTTTATTTTGGATATTTAAAATGCTTTTCAGTTCCGGTGTTAAATGTTTATTAGTATTTTAACTTTGTTGATCTTTGAGGACGTGTTCTTCTATTACATTATGTTACTTCAAAATGTTTTCAAAACAACAATATTATCGTTTATTGTCTGGGACAATTCATCGCTCAGCAACTTTTGTTACTGTGTTACTTTCATCCACACTAGAAATATTTTTATAATGAAATTGCTCCACTACTATTAGCTCCTTCTGGTGTTAGCAGGATGCTGGAGTAGGGGATACGATCTCTGCTCTACTCTGACTCTTGTGCCTTCAGTGTCTGCGGGTGCTGCCCTGTCTCCATGAGTACCACAGGGATTGCATCGACCCCTGGCTGTTGCTGCAGCACACCTGCCCTCTGTGCAAACGCAGCATTCTGGGTGAGACCCCGCCTCCTCCCTGTCCGCCGCCCGGATCCGACCCGTCTGAATCAGAGCTTCTGATTCTCCCTGCAGGCACCGTCCGCAGAGACAGCTAGCAGTCGCTGCTGACCTCGTCCCGACTCCTCCGCTGGACCTCGTCCCGACTCCTCCGCCGGACCTCGTCCCGACTCCTCCGCCGGACCTCGTCCCGACTCCTCCGCCCTCCCGGGGAGCGGATCTGGACTCCAGGCGGCAGAAACTCTGCGTTACGGATTCTGTTACATTAAATATGTGGAATCTCTGCAGCTGAAGTCGGCCGCTGAAATGTTTTGATGTGTAAAAACTAGTTATTCGCTCCATGGACGACGACTTCTTTTTCTTCTTCCACACGCAGTTCACTTTAGCTCCTGAATGATGTCAGTAAGAAACATGTTCATCTGATTTGTTTCCTGCTAAAATCACTTCTTGTTTGGAAAATTAGTTTTTTTTTCCAGGGTGAAAAGATTATTTAGCTTTCAAAATTATCCGAACAGAAAACCTAAATATAAACGACGGTGGTGTGGAAAAGTGTTTATCCTTCTCCTCATTTTGTATTTTTTGCATGTTTATCACAGTTCAGTGTTTCAGGACATCAAACCAATTTAAATATTTATCAATGAAGGCGTTAGAAATCCAAATGTTGATTTTGATTTATTTCTAACGAAAAAAATCAAAATTTAAACAGATACTTGTATTTAAAAACCACTATAGCTGTTTGTTTATAATCCTTCCACCCTGGAAAACGAAGATCCAAACTGACCTGACGAGAGTTAAAGTGCTGTGCAAAAGTCTTAAAAAATAATTTTATTGCTAAAGTATATTTAAGTGTAGTTTATAAAGATTTTATAGTTATTCTCTTAACTTTGGGTCCTTTTTTCAAATCTTATCTTTCCTATTTGTCATTAAATTATTGCATTTTAGGAACTAAAATGTTTATTTTGTTATTGAAGAAACTGAATTATTTATTTGTACCTTTTAATGTATTTTTAATATTGTATTAAATAAGATTTAGTGGTTAAATGAAACATCAGCAGAAAGTGCTGATTTAAATGATGTTTGGCTGCAGTTGTAGTAAATTAATGCCTGTGATCATGCAGATTTACCTTTTTTTTAACTGCAAATTTAGATATTTTTTTGACATCATAGAAAATCCAAGTGAAATTAATCTAAAATTTGTGTTTTTCTTATTTTTGGCATGAATTTACTCCCCTAATAGCTCCAACACTCTGCCATACAATCAGACCAACAGTCGACGTTTGAGTAGAAATAAAACCTTTTGGGTTTAACCCAAACAAATCACAGATGCAGGTCAGAGAAGGTTGCCTCCTAAAACCTGAAGACTTTTGCACAACACGGTGAAAAAAGAAAAGTCTGCGCAGTGAGGAGAAATTAGTGTTAGGAGCGTCACGCGCGCCCCCTGCTGGTGACCGCAGACGTTTCTGCTTGGTGGGATCAACGTTTTCACTTATGTTTTATAAATCTGGGTCAAATCTAATCACTTAGATTAGTTTGTAAATTTTATCATGAAAATGTTTCTTTCATTTGTTAAAGCTGCTCCATGTTGTGACAATCTGTGAGAAGATCAATCTCCACATTTTCCCTGAGCCATTACTGCGGTTTGAATAAATGCACCAAAACCAACCAATCAGAACCAGGAGGCGGGGCTTAGCGCTGTCAGTCAGCGCATGTACTCACTGCTAAATGTGCTTATTGTTACTGGAATACCATCTATCTGCCGTCATGCTATGCTAACTAGCTAACCAGCTGTAGATTAGCAAAGAGCATGAGGTGATTGACAGCACTAAGACCCTCCCCTTCCCTGTCCTCTGTTTCTGACTGAGTGATTTATTTATGTAGTTATTAGAACGGAAAGGAGCACCATTTTCTCACAGATCATCTCATACTGTCACAGCAGTGATCAATTTAACATGTAAAAAATTATTTTTATATAAAAGTTACACTTATGCATTTGACCACAGATGACTCAAACTTGAAAGATGTCAAAACAACTGCATTATTTATTATCTCTTTTTTTGTTGTTTTTTTGTCATGTCAACTCCAAAATAGTAATAATTTGTCTTGTTACAAAATGTTCTGACAGATAGATGGGTTCTTTTGTAGAAAACAGTTTGTGCATGGCGACGTGACGCGGCCAGTGCTTCCAGACGTTTCGTTCTGACCCGGCCAGGAGGGGGCGCTCACGTCCACTCTGATCGTTTGGTCGGCTGATGTTCTTCCAGAAGAAGGAGAGGGAACGCTCTTTGATGTCTTACTTGTTTACATCTTTGGATTGTAATAATAAACTGATTTGTTACCTGGCAAAAATTAAAAGTCTAATTGTGGTTGTGGTGAGCAGAGGAAAGAAATCGGTGCCCAAATAAATTGTTTTGGTTTAAAAAAAAAGAAAAGATCCACAGAGAACGTTGTGGCGACAGACCAGAACCGGGTCAACCGGACCTCCTCTGGCTCCAGCAGCGCCGTGGAGCGGGTCAGGAGGGGATCATGCCTTTGTTCCTCTTCCGGTCCGCCATGGAGCGCCGGTTGTGGTTGCTCACGCGGCTCTTATTGGCCTCCTTCTTGCGTCGGTCCAGGAACGTCTCCGTGGTCTGTCCCTGGCCTTTGGGTCGACCCACCACGTTACTGGTCCGCTCGGGCCGAAACCTGGAGGAAACGGAAGACGAGGGTCAGAAAACTGTAACCACAAGAATCATCCAGAGATTATAATTCATAGAGATTTCACAGCAGATCGGGTTTGATGAGAGAACAAAACATTTCCAGTTGCTGTGGTTCCTTTCCTCACTGAACTGAATTAACCAAACTAATTAAAAAACTGTTCCCCTCCTCACCTGTGGGGGCGCTGCACCAAGAACTACTAAAGGAAATTATACAAAAACTGAGCAAAACTTCCTTCACCAAATGTAAACAAAAATGGAGTGGCGTCAGATTTCAGCGGTTGGAGGATTTATCTTTTATGTTCGGTGGAAAAACCATGAGTCGGTTCTGCTGCCAATTCTAGCTAGCTAAGTAGCTAGCGCGTTTGTTTTGGCTGTATTTAACCAGAATGCTCTGCTATGAGTTAACTTCCGGCTTCTGGAGCGGTTCCGGTCCGTTCGGTTTTCTCATAAGCATTTGAACCAAACCAAAGTTAGGGCTCGACAATAAGGCTTAAAAATAAAATCCCAATTTTTTTCATAGCAGATTTGAATTCCCATTCTCATTTGATTTGATTCTTTTTCAGCATTTTCTTTTCTTGGGTAAAAAAAAAAAAAAAGCATATGACCGAAAACAATTTAAAAATGTGGCTTTTATTTCCATCCTCCCTTCTATGAGAAGTACGATGGCGTATTAGGGCAATGGTACATAATTACAAGAAAAAATGTTTAAAATTAGGAGAAAATGTTTTGTTTTCATGAGAAAAAATGCTTGGATAACTATTATTATCCAAGCTTTTGAATAATAATAGAAGATTATGTTCTAATATGAAGACTCTAAACAGGGAATAGTGCAAAGACCCTAAAATAATCTTTTATATTCACAGGAAGCCATCCTTACCCTTTCTTCTGCTGCATGGCAGCTCGTTTGGCTTCGGCTCTCTCCCTCAGCAGAGCCGGGTCCTGAACGAACTGGTCCCGGTTCACAGGGTTCTGAAACACAAAGCCATGCAACGCATGACGCAGCTTCCAAACTGCTGCCGACATCTACTTCAAAACACGCTCACATGTTAGAACTTTTTCCATCTGTTTCGGTTCTGATTAACTCGTCAGATTCTGACTCCAAATCAACATTTGGAGTCAAAACTACAGAAACGTTGTTTAGCTGTCAGAATTTGGAAATATATTCAGGAGCATTATATCGTCTAAATAAGATTTTAAAAATTAACTCATTAAAATCAATCTGCATTTTTAGATGCCAGAGTCCAGTAGTAACTAGTTACATTCACTCAATTACATTTGAGTAACTTTTTAAAAAGAAATGTACTTTTAGAAGTAGTTGTACCTTTTACTTTTGAGTAATTTCATTATGAAGTATTGCTACTCTTGAGTAATAATAGAGTACTAGTTTTGTTCTTCACTGAATCAGGCCAAAAAAATATTTGGCCTGATTTTGTTTGTCATTTTGGTCCTAAAAATACAAAATGCCCACCTAACTTTACGTTTTGGTCCATCTGATGATGTAATTATTAAATATTATATGACTGATAAGTTGATCAGTTACTTCTTTACTTTTACTTGAGTAAAAATGTATTTGTTACAATGAGGACGTTTCCTAAAATTATGATTTTGAAACGTTAGTCACTTTATGACCTGTGAAACATCTTCGTCTTCATCGTCTTCCTGCTCCTCTTCCTCTGCTTTGGTTCCTTTCCTCAGTACCTGTGGGACGGTGAACGGCCTGCAGACAGAAAAAACTAAACAATCAACCAGTGACTAGTTCTTCCTTCCCCTGTCGGGATGTTAAAGTTCCAGTCAGAAATATAAAACACACTCGTTATCAGCATTAATGTCATGGGGATTTCTGATTTATGAACATCAAACATTTTCCAAACCTTGAAATTCAAACATTTTCAAGGATTTGAAGCCCCTGTAGGAGCCGGGCAGCGCCATACCTCCTGCTGAGTAAACTGTCTCCGTCCAGGTCGTTGGCTCCAACCTGGTTCATGTCATACGTGTCGTCGTACTCGTCGTCATAGTCGTCCAGGTCGTAGGGGTCGGCGCCGGCCGACTCTCCCGGCTCGACAACGACTTCGTCCACCACCGTCTCGTACATCTGGTAGCGCGCTCGCTGCTCCGCTATGTGCTGCTTGTCGTTCAGCGTCTCTTGGGCGCTCTCGCCTTTCCTGTAGGCGGAGAACGGAAAAACCTCCAGAGCGCCGCAAAAACACAGAATCTCACCAAGTGTTTTTATTTAGTTTATCCCAAATATCTTAGTACATTTTAATTAAGACAAAACTAACTTACAAGTAACTTTTCAGCAAGAATTATGAGCCTGTTTTAACTCAGTAATTCCTTAATATTCATGAGAAACTTTTAGTTAAACTGGAAGATATTTCACTTATAGCAAGACATTTTCCCACATTACAAATCTTTTCATCAATATTAAGGAATTATTGACTCATAACAAGCTCGTATTTCTTGCTCAAAAGCTACACTGAACTACAGAAGCAAAAATCCAGATTTTCTAAAAATCAAATCTCCAAAAACCAAACATTTGATGAACTGATAAAACGATTTGTCGCCCAGTCGTTTTTGATTAGTACGACAGCAGCTTCCTCTGCTCCTCTACCTCCTGCCCTTCCAGACGCGGGACATGTCCACCTGATCCCTGCGGAAAACGTCGAACTCGTCGTCGTCAAACACGTTGGATCGGGTCTTCAGGACACCTGGGAGCTCCTCTTTCACCGGCCTGCAGACCAACATTAAGCTCCAATCACACAAAACCACACAAACGGAAACGTTCAGCATGCCCACTTTCCTGTCATCTTAAAATGTATCTGAGTAAAACAGATCTGCAGGTTATATGACATTTTTCTTTGGAACTATTTTTGCAAGAAATTATAAAATGTGGATAATCTGAAGCCCTTCAACTCCAGCAGAACCTGTAAAGTGACATGAGAAATCTGAGGCAGAGTCTTAGTCCTATATTGAAGAAAAACAAGGAGAACATTTGAATCTTCTGGAATTTTCAGAATCTTTTAGAAAAGATTCAAAAGTTTAAAATTTGCTAAAAGAAAACTCAAATCTTGAGGCTAATATTAGAAATCTTTTAGAAAGAAATTAGAAATTTTTGAGATTCAAAAGCTAAATCTCAAATAAACAACTTGGACATTTCTAAGCTCCTAAAGTCAAACATCTGCTAAAAAAACTCAAATTTTGAGATCACCCTCAGAAATTGTGAGTTTCAAGTCAAAACTTTCCTGAGCTTTTGCAAGTTTTCTCACAAATTTTGAACTTTTCAAACTCAAATTCCTTAGATTTTTCTAGAAATTTTCCAAGATTGATAAACATTTCTCAAGTTTTTTTCTGCGAAACTTTTCAAATTCAGAAATTTCTGAGTTCTTTCCAGAAAATATCTGAAATTAATCTAAAAATTTCTGAGTTTTTGGTGGGAAGGTACTTCTACTTTTATTAATGTACAACAGCCAGAATACAAAGTTATAAATATCTAATGTAAAATGGCGCCTGAAGAGTCTTTAAACAGTGAGACGGAGTGCTGCCCCCTAGTGGATGCTGTTGTAGCCTCAGGAGGCCGTACCGCGGCATGGTTCGGTCCAGTTTCTCCAGGCTGGGAGCCAGTCGGTCCTCCAGGATGTTGTTGATGACCAGCTCAGAGTTGTAGCCGTATTCCTGCAGACACGCCAGCAGGAAGCCTTCGCCCAGGTCAGGAAGCAGATCCTTGATGCAGGACAGGAGAGACTCAAGCTCCGGCCCGCTCACAGGACACACGGCGCCCTGGAAACCCAAAACGTTCTGGTGTTACTGTCCTGAAGAACTGTAGAGCCACGAACATCACTACAAACACAAATCGTTCAGCTTTTGTGTCATATCTTTATCTCATAGAGAACTGAAGTTTGTGGCAGGAAAATAAACGACAAAAACTTTAAGGGGTGTAAATACACCCCTTAAAGTGTGTAGAAACAAACTCTGAGGATCAGAGTTTGTTTCTATTTTAACATTTAAACCCATGAAAAACAAACGCAAACACTGAGACATCATGCAGCTGCAGATCGAAGCTCTCACGTTGTCTCCTTTCTGTGGGGCGGCCATCTTGGCCTCAGCCCCCACCAGCCTCTCTCCTCTCGACTCTTTGACCTCTGGTGACCCGAGGCCATCCGAACAGGCTGCCGCCGCCGCCGCGCCCTGACTGGCTGACAACAAGGAGGCGCCTTCGGTCTGTGGTCTTCGTCGGCCCGTGGCGTCCCAGGCGCTTTCCACACCCTGCAGCAAATACGACGTCCTCGTCTCGTCACTGAGGGAGAGTTAAAGAAGAAACCAGCTGCAATAACAACTGATATTTACG